TGCCAATTCAATACGCACACGGAGTAGCGCCCAAGAAATGAACACTCACCAAACTTTATGGACAATGACAAGGCTTGAGTCCTTGAAATGGGCATTGACGACAGACACTTGGCCTCTTTTGCATGCATTTTACGGGAGATTCTGGAATAGTCAACGTTGACGTGAAAGGCCTTGTACTTAATGTAGCAGAATTTTAAAAAAAAACCACATATGATCCATAATTAGCACTTCCCATAAGACTCATCTCATCAAACAGGACCTATACATTGTACTTGTTAAAAGCTAGAAAATATCTAGTCTTGATCTAGGAACTTGAACAAGAAAATGTAAATATTGCGGGGTAATCAATTCTAATCTGTCATTAAATAGCATTGCATTTCATCCTGTGGCACAGACATAGTATATTCATCATCGGATGAACGTAACGTCAATTATAGCCACAATCAATCAATTACAAATCAAACGGAAGATTATTTTTATTGATCACATTTGAATTAAATTGTTCACGTATTCATTTTACCATAAAGCCAGGCTTATAATAGTCTTCTCCTTTGTTAATTATTCCATACAATTATTTTTAAGCCTAATTGTGATTTTTGCATTTCACCAACACATCCATCGCAGCACCTTCTTCAGAGAAGAAATGAATCCCCTAATAAGCCATAAGAATAAATATCTATTTTTTGCCCAGAGAAAGTTGTTGTTGTAATTCATAAAAAATTAACCAAAAAAAAACCTTTGTTAGACAATCAGACCTAGATTATTTAATTTGCAAAAACAATTTAATTTATTTGAGATATGTAATATTTAATTACGCTGTAAAGAGGGAAATTACATGTAAAATTAACAATAATCAGTATTCAAAAAGGCATAAAATTACCTTCCAGTTAACCTAGTTAAAACATTTTTTTTTTTCAAAATCCTGATAACATATACAAAATGAACGTACAATCAGGAGGTTAATGTGATTCACACCAGAGTTAAAGTACATTGGACAATTTGACAAAACAGTATCTTTTAATTCAGGTAATAAATATGGTTATTGAGTTGTGCTATTTTTTTTAAAGATATCGTATTGTGATTTTTTTTTTCTATAATATATATTTGTACTATGACATGGCACTCTTAAATACATATTATGTAGAAATAGGCTTGAGCACATATGTGTTTCAGCTGATACAAACAAATTGAATGCCTTTTAATCTGTGCCCGAACAAACCGTTCCTTATGACTCCACGGTGCATTGCAGACATATTGATTAGTGTGGGTAGATTAAAAGGAATTGCATTCGTTGGCACCACCTGAAATGCATTTATGCACAGGTTTATTTAGAAAATATAATTTCAACATGATGTCACAGCTGCTTTCTAAAGAGGACCAAACTCAGGCAGTTAATAGTAATCAACTCACATTTCCGTTGATTTTAATTTTGGTAATAATACTCCTCAAACTGCTAAGTTGAGACTCTTTGCACCATTATAAATCCCTGGGTTTTCAGTACATTTTCCTGGGTTTGCAAATCGGATATTCACAAAATGTAAATCTGGATAAATTCAGTCAGTCGTACAGTTTGCGCAAGTCTCATCTGGGACAACTTGGTGTCGTGAGTCCCATAGAAAGTACAGGATTTTAATAATTATCAAATTTAGTCCAGTCTTTTAGATGTACTTTAATGTTACAACAGCTAGCTCAAAGAAGAAAGCTAACGCAAGTTAATGTAGTGAGAGTGATAAATGTAATGCCCATACAGGAGTGAGGTTCACTTTAAAGAATATATTGGAACTGGAACCAATACTACATATAATATAAAATACAAATAACTGTTTACAATAAAAAGAAATTATAAATTGATATTTCCTGACTTTTGCTAATTGGATTTAAGCTACCTCACATACTGGAAAAGGAAGATAGCGCATTGCAATGACCTTTGTTGTTGTTTTTAACTCATATATCAGATTATTGATAGGGTCAGAGTGCATAGCAAAATGACTGCTGAAATGAAATGATAAAGGTTTTAGAAAAATAATTCAATTGATTTGATTATAAATTCCTTTTTAAAGGACAACTCATCACACCTAACGCACTTGTTGAATGGATTTATGTGTGAAGTCTGTTCTCTCTTTTTTCTTTTGAAAATAAGTGCAGATTTCAATGCAAATTGGCACTTTTATAAATTAACCTTGTTACATCCCCCCCGGCTGTCAATCAGACAACCGGTCCTGTTACTTCCTGGTTTGGTTAGCTCAGTGGAGATAAACTCAAGAGGCAGCAATTGCTCAGAGCACCTGCCTTGCAAAGACTTCTCATTGAGCTGCATTGGGAAGTCTGTGATTGGACAGCCACAGAAAGTCTGGGAGGGGATGGCTTGCAAAGGCTGCAGATTGGAGAAAAAATGATATAATTTTAAACAAATGTGAGAAAGGCTGAACTTGATGGATGCATGTCTATTTTCAGTTGTGTAACTGTGCAACTATATGTAAATGCTTGTGTGTTTTCAGTGGGAGTAGATCTACAAAACAATATGTTTTTTATTTATGCAGTAGCATGTCCCCGTGAGGGGTTCGATTTCCTAAAAGTCTGTAAACATAACTGGGATGCAATTGCAACAAATTATTTGTTATAAGTTAAAAATGTGCAGTGATTGAATTAACCCCATAAATGTGAGATCATTTAGTGAACAATCTTAATGCCCGTAGACACATTTTAAAGTATATCACTGCTTGTTTCTTAAATAAAACAACTCTTATTTACTAAACTGAGAATTGTCAGGAATTTAAAGTTGAGCAAAGTAAATTAAAATTTTCAGGCATACATTGACGTATTGAAAACATAGGTGATACGGAGAATTTTTCCAATTTGCCTTTTTTGGCCTAGAATTCCCTTTGAATTCACGATTCACATTAGTGAGTAACCCTGTTACTTTTAAGCAGTGAGATATAATTCCAGGCAGAGCAGCAATCAATTTACCAAGAAGTTACCAAACATACGCTAAGCATTATAACTGCCTTTTATGCTGCAGGCCCTTCAGTTCTGATAAATACTAACCAACGCATGTCTTCTACAAAGTGTTTAATTAAGTCAATACAAAGAATATTTACAGGCCTGGCAATTGTTCATTTTGTTTTCCAGAAACAGGTAAAGAGAAGAAAAAAAAAACATGTTTGAAGAGCTAATGCCTTCGATCATGTGGCTTTTACATAATGATATTAACAAATTAATTAGAAACCATTCTATTTTGCCTTATAAGTAGCCAACAGCTTGATTCTCAAAGTCCAAAGATTCCCACGATGATCCGTCAGCCTATAGGTCGGAGAGCTATGTGTTTGTCACAAGTTGGTTAATTGTTTTCCATTTGATTTCAATGTGTTTAACACTCTAAATACAAAACCTTAGTACGTAGGACTCTAACAAGGTTTAATCGCTGAAGTAGGAATAGCTGGAAATTGAAAGAGAAGTTAACATTTAGGCCAATATCAAAATCTAGCTTACCTGGAGAATTTTCTAATGAATTAGTCCATGTTTTGGCATAAAATACGAAGTTCACATTGAATAAAATACGAAGTTCACATTGAATTCCTGACAATTCCCATTTTTGTGAATAACCCTGCACATATTTTAAAGGGACATTAGTCACCAAAGCAACTTTAGCTTAATTATTATTATTTTATTATTTATATAGCGCCAGCAAATTCTGTAGCGCTGTATGAAGCAGTTGTAGTGTATAGATCATGTCCTTACAGTCTCACTTCTCAATTCTCTGCCATTTAGGAGTTAAATCTCTTTGGTTATGCAGCCATAGCCACACCTCCCTGCATGTGACTTGCACAGCCTTCCTAAACACTTCCTGTAACGAGTCCTCTAATATTTACACTGCATTGTATTGCCAATTCTGCTTAATTTATAATTGCTGTGTTAATAGCTTGCTAAACCATTCAGGAGCCTCTTATGTGTGATTACAGCTTACAGAGCAGGAGAAAAAAAATCCTTTAAATTAAGATCTGACGGAAAGTGAAACCATTTTGTTTTCATGCAGGCTGTGTCAGTCACAGCTAGGGGAGGTGTGGCTAGGGCTGCACAGACAGAAAAGTGATTTAACTCCTAAATAGCAGGTTGAGCTGTGAGACTTCAGTGGCATGATCTATACACTAAACCTGCTTCATTAAGCTAAAGTTTGGTAATTGTAGTGTCCCTTTAACTAACAATAAGAAGGTTAAAAAAGGTCAAGTGTGGTGATATCTGGCAGCGCATGTCCAGTTCCCGGCTTCACCTCTGTTGTGTTTGAGTACGCTTTTAATTACCAAATCAATGGCTGGCACCAGATATCTCAGCTAGACCATTTTGAAAAACAGGCACAGTGTCACCAAATCTTCTGCCAACCAGATTGTCTGATATATGCGATATGGGCATTACGCCTGTTTTAATATTGCATTATCCTATTTTGTGCACAGTAAATATTCTCTTTATAGAATCCATCATACAGCACGTTTGTTGCACCCATCCCTCTTTGTTTTTTTAATTTATTGATATAAAATAAATAATGGATATTTTTTGCTTATCACTTGGAATGGGGGGATTTTTCTACCAGGAATTGATTGTACTTTTTTGTTCCATTTAAATCAGCACATTAATCAAAGCTGGCCTTACCAAAACGATAAGGCTATTGCCGAATAGTTAGTAAAATGGAACGAAAATAGCCGGTAATGACTGATTTCAAAGAAAATATTCGCTGCTCTACATACTGATGTGCTAATGCTAATCGAAACCTTCGAACCAAATAATGTCAGCTGCTGCCATCTGGTGGACAAAGGAAGTATGGTTTCCAATTAAGAGTGTGTTTAGTGGTATTTGTCAATATTTCTGGTTAGAAAGGAGAATCATTTGACACTATTCTGAAATGGGATTTTTTAATGGAATCACTAAAATAGATATTAGATAATTGGGATCTGATTAACACGGTGCTGTGAACGATGGACAATGGGACGCAGGGGTTCAGTTTAGATTTATTCGAGGTCCCCCATGTTGGCCTCAGAATCCTGCCATGTGGGACCCTTGAAGGTCAGGTATAGAGCGTTGCTGTTCACAGGTTGCTTGTTAGGGTCGGACTGGACCTGCTCGAGCTTCAAAGATGAGAAAGGGAGAGGACCGCATCCTAAAACATTGGTGTCCAACTCTGCCAGGATCTGAAGGGAATACTTCAATTCATGTTCACTGCAAAAAGAAAATTATAACAGGACTTCAGTGACAGCCACCCTGCAGCACTATGTCACAATTAGAGCCCCCCTACCAGCACTATGTCACAATGAGAGCCCCCCTACCTGCACTATGTCACAATGAGAGCCCCTCTACCAGAACTATGTCACAATGAGAGCCCCCCACCAGTACTGTGTCACAATGAGAGCCCCCCTACCAGCACTATGTCACAATGAGAGCCCCCCTACAGCACTATGTCACAATGAGAGCCCCTCTACCAGCACTATGTCACAATTAGAGCCCCTCTACAGCACTATGTCACAATGAGAGCCCCTCTACCAGCACTATGTCACAATGAGAGCCCCCTACAGCACTATGTCACAATTAGAGCCCCCCTACAGCACTATGTCACAATGAGAGGCCCCCTACCAGCACTATGTCACAATGAGAGCCCCTCTACCAGCACTATGTCACAATGAGAGCCCCCCTACAGCACTATGTCACAATGAGAGCCCCTCTACCAGCACTATGTCACAATTAGAGCCCCTCTACAGCACTATGTCACAATGAGAGCCCCCCTACCAGCACTATGTCACAATGAGAGCCCCCTACCAGTACTGTGTCACAATGAGAGACCCCTACCAGCACTATGTCACAATGAGAGCCCCGCTGCCCCCCTACAGCACTATGTCACAATTAGAGCCCCCCTACAGCACTATGTCATAATTAGAGCCCCCCTACCAGCACTATGTCACAATGACAGCCACCCAGCAGCACTATGTCACAATTAGAGCCCCTTACCAGCACCATGTCACAATGACAGCCACCCAGCAGCACTATGTCACAATGAGAGCCCCCCTACCAGTACTATGTCACAATGACAGCCACCCAGCAGCACTATGTCACAATTAGAGCCCCCCTACCAGCACTATGTCACAATGATAGCCACCCAACAGCACTATGTCACAATGAGAGCCCCCCTACCAGCACTATGTCACAATGAGAGCCCCCCTACCAGCACTGTGTCACAATGAGAGCCCCCCTACCAGCACTGTGTCACAATGACAGCCCCCGTACCAGCACTATGTCACAATGAGAGACCCCCTATCAGTACTAGGTCACAATGGGTGTCCCCCTACCAGCACTATGTCACAATGACAGCCCCCCTACCAGTACTATGTCACAATAAACCCCCTACCAGCACTGTGTCACAATAAACCCTCTACCAGCACTATGTTACAATGAGAGCCCCCCTACCAGCACTATGTCACAATGACAGCTCCCCTACCACTACTATGTCACAATTGGTGTCCCCCTACCAGCACTATGTCACAATGAGAGACCACCCTACCAGCACTGTCACAATGGGTGTCCCTCTACCAGCACCATGTCACAATGAGAGACCCCTACCAGGACTGTGTCACAATGAGTGCCCCCTACCAGCACTGTGTCACAATGAGTGCCCCCCTACCAGCACTGTGTCATTGTGAATACCCACTAGCCACACTGTGTCACTGTAAGTACCCCCTCATTGCTCTGTGTCACTGTAAGTACACCCTCACAGCACTGTGTCACTGTAAGTACACCCTCACAGCACTGTGTCACTGCTCCTGCCGACTGTACTCTGTTAAAGTATCACCTTGTTACATGGGGCTGTGTCAGTGTCTGGTTCTATATGCCCAATATTATCAGTGATAGGAACTCAGATTATATCATATCATTACCATAATGAGACCCAGAGCAGGGTTAACCATAAGGTGACTATAGGCAGCCGCTGACGGGTTACACAGGGGCTCTGAAACTAGGAATTTGCTTGGCCCCATAACCCAGCTCTATGTGAAGAGGTTGTGGTCCCAAAATGATAACCAGCCGGGCCCTGTGGGATCTTAATCCTTCTGTTGAGGGCACAGATTTGGGTCAGAACCTGGGGCAATGTGATTAAAATTTCAAATCCTATGCCCCGACACAAGCCTAAAATATGATCTCCAATGTAAAACTGGGGCCACCATGGTACGCTCACTGGGGGGGAATTTCTACTCGTCATTGGCTAGTGGAAGTATTGAGCCCTGACCTAGAGGATAAATATTACTATAAATTCTATTTGGACTGTGTTATACATTAATTGAACATGGCACAACCAGCCGCACAACTTGAAGAGAAAGCTACAAAGCAGTGCCCATCAAAATGCCCTCTAACTATTAATGTTACCTGTACAAGGTGAACAGAGATGGGATCTGGTAGTCCCTCAGTAGCAGCAGAGTGGGGAGCCATCCCTCTGTCAGACCCTGGGAGACATGGAATCCTGGAACAATAAAGGACAGGTAGAAGGAAGGTGAGATGGAAATTGGACACGATTGTGTTTGGCAAATATAGAGACTTGCAGACTTATTCACTAAAGTGGGAATGGTCACGAATTTAAAGGGAAATTCAAACTTTATTTGACTAGCTCTTGTGGAAACACAGCCAAAGTGGAGAATTTGTTTAATATTTTTTCCAAATCAGTTACTGTGGCCCAAAACTTTGAAATTCACTTTAAATTCTCGAAAACTCTGTTAAAGTGAACTCAGTACACACTGCATGCAAACTACGACCCCGGATGGGTTACATGTCCCGTCGTATGGAGCTGGAGGGTGAGAAATTCCATGGGTGGCGGGGCCCAGTATTTATATATAGTGAGCTGAGTTCACATAAAGCTCAGGAGGATTACTGTCGGATAAAGTCATGTCGCACATCGTGGACCTCGTTACAGGAACAGAAAGAAAGGATCAGCACCTGTTTTATATGTAAATATGCCGGCAGTGGCATACAAGCTGGCTCTAACTGCAATTTTCACCAGCCCTTGGATAATGAGACATGCAGTCCATAACCAGTGGACAGTGACACAGTTGTCCCAACCAAACCACATAATGTGAGATAAGAGTCAGAGTTTAACCTCTGCCACTTTGTTAGGTTCAGCAACAGAACCAATCTGTAGCAGTGGTTGTCATATAACAAATAGTGCTAGCTTAAAGGGAGGGGGCCACAGTTTTATATATGCTGGGGCTGTACCTGTGACCTCACACTTATCCTTCCTAGCTATTGGACAGTATATCACCAAAATTAACATTTAAAATGGTGTTTTTCAAGTATTTAAATAAATTCAGGGAAAAACAAAATACAGTTTAAAGACCCAATAAATAATCTGTGCAGACAAAGGAATTGGGGGCACAACTGGAACATGCATTTTGCAGGAATGGTCTTACCGTAGTGACTAAAATTCATACCCAATACAGATTAAGGAACAGAGCACACATAAACATACAGTTTTACATGTTATAAGGCTATCTCAGCAAACTAACATGGGGATTCTGCCATATTGCCATATTGTGTTAAGCCCACCACTATTTCCCAGTACCCCAATATCGGTGGGTCATACACCAATTTAAAACGTGGGAGACAAATGAAATAGTGCTATCGCTAAATAAACTAAAGTGTATTTAATGAATCTTTTGTAAGAGGATGAATATATTCTTCCAAGCACTATCACTTTAATTGTTTATTTTTGACACAGTAAAAAGCCTGAAGGTAATGATTCTACTCACCAGAAAAAATTCAATAAGCTGTAGTTGTTCTGGTGACTATAGTGTCCCTTTAAAGGACGTATCCTCATGGGTTTTCAAAAAGTTAAAAGACAAACTGGACTTTACATAGGACACGAGGCCATGCATTTAGACTGGAAGAAAGAAGATTTTGTCTAAGGCAAAGGAAAGGGTTTTTTTACTGTAAGAACAATCGGGATATGGAATTCTCTGCCTGAAGAAGTGGTTTTATCAGAGTCCATACAGATGTTCAAACAGCTACTAGATACATACTTGCAAGAACAGAATATTCAAGGATATAATCTTTCAATGTAGGGTAATAACTGCTTGATCCAAGGATAAATCTGACTGCTATTCTGGGGTCAAGAAGGACTTTTTTTCCTAGTTCTTTTGGATCAACAGCAAAAAACAAATGTGAGGAAGGCTGAACTTGATGGACACAAGTCTCTTTTCAGCTATGTAACTATGTAATGTAACTTTACTGACCCTTTTGTCCCTGTTTCTATTACATTAATCAGAGCTTGGACTGAAGTTTGAGTGATAATTTCACCAAAGTAAAACAGGTTTCCTGTTGCTTCTAATGGGGTCCCCCACTCCCATTAGATTTAATCCACTACACAGGACATTGCAAGACTGTTGGTCCTGGATTTGGTGGTCTAACTCGGGAGTTATCCAGATATTTACCCCAGCCCAGAATTTATTTGCCCCTCTCTCTTCTGTGCCTTCCTTCAGCTGTCTGTTAACCTCAGTATGAGAAATGTTTCAGTGATCTCAGTGAGCCTTTTTCCAGCTGTACTTAGGGCTCAAGCTACTGTTGCTGGTAGGCAGGGGTTGGATAAACAGGCTTCACAAGAGATTCACAGCTAAATGTCTCCACGGGCAGTAAATACGCAGGATTTTTTTAACTCCCTATAAAGCCTGAACTACTGAGAACAAGCTGGGTGGTGGTAATGTTTCACTTTACTCTCCTCTACTGAGAAACCATCTGATCTATTTACTGCCCCAATCTCAGAGTATAAATATATGGGTCCAGCAGGTGGTTGTTTGGCTCTGCTGAGAGGTACATCGCTATGTTTCTCTCCTGGTTCAAAATCCCATGACTTAAAGCATTATTCCTGCTTCTAGACACACATGTACTGAAGAAATCTTAAATAGACAAATAGATAAATCGTGTTTGTGGAGCATTGGCCATTATAAATAGGCACACTAGTTATACACACCTGGATGGAAGCCCACCACAAGATCAGGTCTTGCAGCCTTTTTGGTTTCTATCAGAGTCTCCCAGAATACATGGTACAGTCCTCTAAATCCACTCAGATATACTCTCCCACGTGGTCCAAATGCAGTCAGTGGAGGTCTCATGACTGGACTGTCTACAATTTCGGGTCCCACCATCACCACTTCCAGGCCCTGGTTTCCAGGAAACATCTTGGCAAGTTCATCGTAATCTGTGGCCCTGATGTTCAAGGTCTCGATGTGAGAAGCTCCAACAACGTGTATTGTGATGGGTCCACTATAGGGGTCAACATGGAAGGTATTCATGGCAAAACCAATGCACATTGGTCGAGAGAAAAAGTCACATGTCAAGCGCTTTATAGATTCCCTGAGATCATTATTTTCTGGCCTGGGCTTCCCAGCGTTGGACCACAACATTGCCATGTAGCGTCCAGACATTATGTTGTCTAGTTTCTCCTCAAGATCCTCCTGCATGGCAAACCAGTCTTCCCAGCTCTTTATCTCCGAATGCTGTTTTTTCCAAGGTCCAGTCGTAAATGGAATATCTCCTTAAATAGAAAATATGACCAATGAGTCAAGCACAACTGAACTCAAGCATTAGAAATATACCGTAGATATAATCTTAAACACAAGAACTAGGGACATTAAGTGACACTATCGTGATGGCTGCAGCTAGTCATAGTTTTATCTGAGTTCGAAAGTGATGGAAAAATGGCAGGCATTGAATATGCCAATGAAAGTTGTGTATAAGAATTCATAACACTAAACAAGTCAAGATATGTAAAATGTTAGATCCTCAGGTTGTATTCAAACTGTCTCCTACCCCCAAACCGCACATCTATGTATATTGCATTATTAATACCTTTACATATGTCAATATGAATAATCGGCAAATACAGCAACACGATGGCACTTACGACATTCATTTCATTTTAAAAAGTAATTATATTTCAGAAAATACAGTTACAATTATCTTGGAACTAGTCTCCAGTGTTCCCGTGTCACCGGAATTATTGTTGCCTGCAGCTGCATACGTCTGTTACAGAGGAATATGATCGTCCCACGACGATCGATTTTGTAGCAGACTACAGCTGAGAAAGCTCATGGCATATCATAAGCTCAATATTATACAGTTTGTCTTTGGTGCTGTTTTTTTTTAAAGAATTGATTTTGGAGTATACATTACTTAATGCCAGAAATGCTTTTCCAATGGTTCGATGGGTCGCCAGTACTCTAGGAGTTGTACGACGTGTAACCATGAACAGTCGAATACCAATCTCAATTGTCCACATTGTCCCCCGTTTAGGGCCCTGCCCGCACTTACGTGCCAACAACAGTTCATCATCTGCTGGGGGCTAGATATCGGTTTGCATCTTCCTGTGGCAGTAGGCACTTGACGTGCTTCATTGTATAACCCTGGAACTGTTAGTGGGGAATCAATAGCAGCTTCAAAAAAAATGAACAGAGCAAACTGAAACGTAAGCAAGAGAGGGGTAATCTATTGCCACTGGCTTGAATATCTCCCTTCTGTACTCCGAGATTCCACACGTGCAGCAGATTGTGAAAACTAAAAATGCTGGTGTTTTGAAGGGAACAGGGAAATTAATTGCGAATACAGATACCCCACTGGCTCTTAATTGTTTTCAAATGATGGTGAAGGTATAAAAACCACACTGTTAGCGACCGGTGACCGTTAGGTAAAAAATGAACCTTGTCTATGGCATTATTGGCATTTTATTCCAAGCTGGGCACCCTTGGTATATAGTCTTGAAGGTTAATGTTTATGAACTTTATGGGTGTTACCTGTAAAGACCAGCCATTCGACTAATCGGTCAATCGCTGCCAACTTTAGTTTCCGGCAGAATTTCTTATGCGATGCCCAGTTCTCCCGAATACACTCTGAGCTACAGTAATACACGTTCTGACATCTGCAAGACGATGGGTCACATATCAAAAATAATAGGATATTAGGATGAAAAAAGCCCAAATGAGTGAAAAGGAGTAAATAAAAAACAGAAAATTGTATTGAATACAATTCACAAACAAAAGGGTATTGCTAACTATTTAAAGGGACACTATAGTAACCAAATCAACTTTATCTTAATGAAGCTGTTCTGGTGTATAAATCGTGTCCCTGCAGTCTCACTGCTCACTTCTCTGCCATTTAGGACTTAAATAACTTTTGTTTCTGATTATGAAGCCATAGCCATGCCTCCCCTGACTGTGACTGACACAGCCTGCATGAAAACATGGTTTAGTTTTCAATCAGATGTAACTCACTTTAAAAGTTTTTATCTCCTGCTCCGTAAATTGGACTCTAATTACATACAGGAGGCTCCTGCAGGGTCTATCAAGTTATTAACAGAGCAAGCGATAAAAGATTCTAAAATAAATAGAATTTGCAATAAAGGAAGTATAAACATTAGATGACTCTTTAAAGGAAGTGTTTAGGAAGAATTGTGTAAATCAAATGCAGGGAGGTGTTGCTAGGGCTGCATAAACAAAGTGATTTAACTCCTAAACAGCAGATAATTGAGCAGTGAGACTGCAGGGGCATAATCTATACACCAAAACAGCTTCATTAAGTTAAAGTTATTTTGTTAAAGGAGAAGTATAGTGCCAGGAAAACAACACTTGTTTTCTTGGCCCTGTAGGGTTATTAGGTCCCCCCCCTCTGCCGCTGGGCTGAAGAGGTTAAAACCTCTTCAGCCACTTACCTTAATCCAGTGCCGGGCTCCCTTGGTGCCGGTGACCTCTCCTCCCTCTGCTGACGTCAGCTCTGAATGCGCATGCGCGGGTAGAGCCATGCGCCCATTCAAACCGCCCAGAGAAAAGCATAACTCAGTGCTTTCCTATGGACATCCAGTGTGTCCTCAATTCGATTCTCATTGAGGATCGCAGAAGCACCTCTAGCGGCTGTCAGTGAGACAGCCACTAGAGGCTGGATTAAACCTCAGTGTAAACATAGCAGCTTCTCTGAAGGTTTTCAGCTGCAGGGCTAAAACTAGGGGGACCTGGCACTCAGACCACTTAATTGAGCTGAAGTGGTCTGGGTGCCTATAGTGGTCCTTTAACTATACTGTCCCTTTAATATATGTGAACTGATGCAAAGCGCAAAAAAACCTCCAGAGCAAAAACAGAATTAAGAGCTTCAGGGATAAGACAAGAACGAAATACTGTAAGGAAATTCACTAAAATATCAATTGTTGAGATTTCAAACTGAATTAAAAGTGAATTTAATTTCAGGCTAAAAATGTTGAAATTAAAAAAATTCTCCAAGCCAGATCTACAGTTTGACTGCTTAAGCCTACATTTAGCTATTTGTGTTTTAATTTGTTACAGCTCGGAGTTAATTAGATAAAACTCTTACTGAATAACCCTGAATAGCCAATCAGATAAGCAGCTTGTAGTGAACATATAACAAATGTTTTTGGCATGTGGACGGATTTAGTGGATCTCCGACACATGTTGACGTTGCCAAGTCCATACAAAGCTGCCGTGTTTCTCTGCACGGATGTAGATTTACTGAAATTCCCAACACTGCGCCTGCAGACTGATAAACTAGCACAGTGCGACGACGGCAGAGGGAGAACGGACACTGTGTCCCTTACTAAAAGCTTCGTGTCTCTTTACCGTTAGAAGAGAATTTTCCATTTTCATTCAAAGGGATTTGTTCACTAAACACCGAATGGTAGCGAAATAAACCCCCGATCATAAAATCGAAGCTAAAATAGCAAAAACTGTGACTTGAGACAAATCGGAGAATATTTTCAAATCTGCTATTTTTCCTGCATTTTGCAGATCAGCTCAGTTACAATCCGTTGTTTAGTGAATATTTAGCTTTTCCTAATATCCAGCTTTTACATTAAATACATTTAAAGGGACTCTGTTATGGAGAAGATGTCGGTCTCTGGTTTTTACGTTGTCCTCCTAATTTAACCCACATATTGTGCTAGCCAGGTATAGAGATATCTAACATTTAATGTTATTATTGATGCCTGTCTTTGGTGCTGCTTGCGTAGCGAATTCCTGTGTGCTTGTGCCAGTCTCTTGTGAATGTACAAATGTGGGCATCATGCCATGTGTACATCCAAAGCCGGACAGTTTGGGGTGTGCTGCATTAATGGTTAGGAATATGTGGATGCTGCTAATCACATCTACTACACCTGGCTGGCACTACCACCCCTTCCAATATAGAGGGGGGCATGTTACTCTGGTGTGTGTGTCTGAATGACTGGCTGCCCCTCTAGCCTTCCGTCTGACATGCCCAGGACCCTGGTATGGGCAGATACACCCTGAATTATGCTAGCGTCCAATAACACTTTAATACTTTGCTTTTACAAAATTTGTCACTTTTGGCCCCAGAAGCAGGACACCGGAGAACCAATGCAGAGTGAAGGAACAGGGGGCGTAAATTGGGACTGTCGCACTGAATTCAGGACAGTTTGGAGTTATTAGCACTATTTAAATCCTCTCTGACAGCATCTCGGTTGCAGCAGTAGTTTTCTATTAAGTCTAACTTGTACAATACACATTTGTGGCCAGTTTCACCAATGATTAAACGCACATAGTTTGTGAATCACGGTCCTTCATCTATGCAATTATAATGAAATTACCCTTTATAGAATTGTATATGATTTGTTAGTATGCATGTATTAATAAATTGACATTGCCATGCAGTTATATGTGGAGTTACTGGATAATCAGAGGAAAACGAGGAAAAGAGACAGCCATCCTCTGGTATGGTCATTTATATTGTGGTAGCAATCTCGGTGACTCCCTAAGGTTATACGGATCGCAGATAATCAAAGTCTTTGGAATGAAGGACAAAATGAGAGCTGGATGACACAGAATGTGTATATCTGTTAAAGTGCTAACAGGACGAGAGAACGTCTTGAACCATGTGTGAACGCATGCCATCTCATCAGGCACGCTCTCTGACCAAGAAAGACCGACGTGAGCCCCTGACAAGACGTTACCAGTGACTGTGTTATTTGCTGATCAGAACGTCTTGTTAGGGGCTCTCTAAACCAAGAAAGACCAACGTGAGCTCCTGACAAGAAGTTACCAGTGACTGTGTTATTTGCTGATCAGAACGTCTTGTTAGGGGCTCTCTAAACCAAGAAAGACCAACGTGAGCTCCTGACAAGACGTTACCAGTGACTGTGTTATTTGCTGATCAGAACATCTTGTTAGGGGCTCTCTGACCAAGAAAGACCGACGTGAGCCCCTGACAAGACGTTACCAGTCACTGTGTTATTTGCTGATCAGAACGTCTCTGATTAAAGCTCAGTGGAGATGGTAACGAACACGGGGAAAGGGTGTTTATTGATCTGTTTATTGTATTGCGCCAGAAGGAATTCTGTTTGCGTCACACATATATGAAATATTCATTCTCACACTTGATCGCATGAGATGTACCCCATGGACCTCTATAAACTTTAATTTATGTGTTAGAAGCAGATCTTATTCTGCAGCTCAAACTTTAGTGAATACACCGCAAAGGTCCCTACAATTATAATTACAATTCTTTATATAGCGCCAACATATTTCGCATCGCTGAACTATAGGTAAACAAGGCAAATATTAAATTCTAACAAAACACATCCGACATACGACTTACAGAAATGGTATGTAAACATTGGATACAGCTTGTTAATAGTTAATTTAAGGCTGTTGTAAGTCTGATGCAGTGAGAGGCAGTACTGTACACAGCAACGATGCTGCATGCCTTGCAGTGCATTGTGGGAAAGGTAGTCTGCCACACATGCAGTTCCAAAGTATAGGAAGTACAGGCTTATTTATTGACGGTATACCTTTTGCAGCGCCTCATGTTGCGAGGATCGGAGAGGTGAGATGGGAGTTTCTTACACTGAGCACAGAATTTGTAGGTATCTTCCATCTTCTGAAACATCTCCGAGTACGTTCGAATGCCATAATTTGTAGCAAGACTCGTACCAGTAACTGCAGTCCTGAGGACAGGTACAAAGGAAAATGTAAAGAGCATCTGACATTTTTGAGATAGGCGTATTTAGAACCCATAAGTTACTTTCATTATTCATTTTTAATTTAAATGTATGAATCACATGTATGATTCATATCACCCTTATAAAAGGCACAAGCAGGGCATTTTATGCAAATGTGTCTGCTTACAGGAATATCTTATTTGTCTTTGTTTTCCCCCTTTTTAACAAATTCTGCAAACTGGGCACTAGAGCTGAATTGACATTAAAGGGGGATAGGAGATTGGCAAACCCACAAACAAATGAGAAACATACATACTGACACAATTTATTGTAGAGGAGATTAAGAGAAAATCTGCATAAAATGCCTTATATAGCCATATATAATAAATAAAATATTACGTAACAAGTAACAACTGCGCTATGTTGTAATAACAAGACGTTTTGTTTCTTTTTTTTTTTTTTTCTGGAAAAGAATTAAAGAGACATCACTGGGGCTGAATCAGACACAATCCTTCGTGAGAGGACGATGCTTAATCAATGTTAACTGCAAGATTGTCAGGCGAGATATGAACAAATGTTTTAGGAGAGTGGCAGTTAATGAGATTGAAACACCAACATTTTAAGTGGCAAACATTAAAAAAATTACAAAAATGAAAGTCACACCCATGAAATGTCAACGATACTGCTTTAAATCAATTCTACGATAGTCATTGAAGCTATTTACCATGATATAAAATAGCAATGTAGTGTCCCTTGACATGACAAAACAATTCATAGAGAAATTAATGACATACTGGATAGTACAGTACAGACTGTAAAATACGGTATTAAAATGTCATACGAAATCTATATGCTCATCGACATTCAAATGATCTTCATGTGCTCCCAAAGACAGGCCTTTCTTGGATTGCACAACCAAGGCAAATGTGGACTGTTAAGGTAGTAAATTCTAATCTCGGAGCAATTAGCTGGAACATTCCACTGGTTTCCATGCCAATTGCTCCACTTTTAGATCTATGCACCAGAAATGATCTTTAGGCATTTCATTCAAACAAACGGCTACTCTGAGCTACAGATTACTGCAGGTAAAAAAAACACTCATTGTTAAATGGGCTGGAGGGAAGAGAAGGATGATAGAACTCTATGAATAAACCTGTACGAAGTTGCAGTTGACGAAAGAGAGAGACAACGAACAAATTAAATATCCAAGTACCGATATTCTTCGTAGCTTTTCATGTTCAGTCTTTGCAGGATGACGTTGGAGAGGCCAGGGACATTGCAATCCATCGCCATGAACCCCAGAGAGTCCGTGTAGTAACTGTTGGTGGCAGACGGTGAAGCTGTAGATTTCGGTCGGGAGCGGCTACTCTTGGATGACGATTTTTTCTGTGACATCGTGACAAGGTGAGAGTTCCTGAAATATTAGATTTTGGAGACAGATCAACTACAGGTAAAACTATATAAGATGAATTTTAAAAAAAAGTTAATATTTTTTTATTAATAATAGAAATTGCATTGTGTAAAGTTCTGGAGCAATTACAATTTCAACCAATGGCATTAGTAGTAATATTTGAATCCAGACACCCATTCACCCTCATTACCTCATTTAAAGCATTATTCTGGACAATTCCCACATTACTCAGCAGCACGCTCACTGCAGCTCCCCACACCTCCTATAACACACACTACCTGAGCAGCACGCTCACTGCAGCTCCCCACACCTCCTATAACCCACACTACCTGAGCAGCATGCTCACTGCAGCTCCTCACACCTCCTATAACACACACAACCTGAGCAGCACACTTACTGCAGCTCCCCACACCTCCTATACACACACTACCTTTTAGCATGCTCACTGACCCCTCACACCTCCTATAACCCACACTACCTGAGCAGCACGCTCACTGCAGCTCCCACACCTCCTATAACACACACTACCTGAGCAGCATGCTCACTGCAGCTCCCCACACCTCCTATAACCCACACTACCTGAGCAGCACGCTCACTGCAGCTCCCATACCTCCTATAACCCACTCTACCTGAGCAGCACACTCACTGCAGCTCCCACAACTCCTATAACACACACAACCTGAGCAGCTCACTCACTGCAGCTCCCCACACCTCCTATAACCCACACTACCTGAGCAGCACACTCACTGCAGCTCCCCACACCTCCTATAACACACACTACCTGAGCAGCACACTCACTGCAGCTCCCCACACCTCTTATAACACACACTACCTGAGCAGCACTCACTGCAGCTCCCACACCTCCTATAACCCACACTACCTAGCAGCACGCTCACTGCAGCTCCCCACACCTCCTATAACCCACACTACCTGAGCAGCACACTACCTGCAGCTCCCCACACCTCCTATAACACACACTACCTGAGCAGCACACTACCTGCAGCTCCCCACACCTCCTATAACCCACACTACCTGAGCAGCACACTACCTGCAGCTCCCCACATCTCCTATAACCCACACTACCTGAGCAGCACACTACCTGCAGCTCCCCACACCTCCTATAACACACACTACCTGAGCAGCACGCTCACTGCAGCTCCCCACACCTCCTATAACACACACTACCTGAGCAGCACACTCACTGTAACCTGGTTGGGGTTCAGGGAGATGAATCTAGAAAGTTAGAGTATTAGAATTTTTTGCAGAAGAAGGATAGTTCTGGAGAGATGAAACCAGGATGAATTGCACAATATAATTTGGACTCAGAGAGTAGGATGGGGATGCATTGTAGGATGAAAGATTGAGTTCATGTAGATGCATCAAGAGAATATGTGAGAGGTGTCAGGATGTGAATACGGGATAGTCTGATAATGAGGGAAGCGCACCTTGATATGTTACATATGGTTATATCTCATCCCATTGATACATATGGCTATATCTCTTCTCATTGATACATATGGCTATATCTCTTCTCATTGATACATATGGCTATATCTCTTCTCATTGATACATATGGCTATATCTCTTCCCATTGATACATATGGTTATATCTCTTCTCATTGATACATATGGCTATATCTCTTCCCATTGATACATATGGCTATATCTCTTCTCATTGATACATATGGCTATATCTCTTCCCATTGATACATATGGCTATATCTCTTCTCATTGATACATATGGCTATATCTCTTCCCATTGATACATATGGCTATATCTCTTCTCATTGATACATATGGCTATATCTCTTCCCATTGATACATATGACTATATCTCTTCTCATTGATACATATGGCTATATCTCTTCTCATTGATACATATGGCTATATCTCTTCCCATTGATAGATATGGCTATATCATCTTCTCCATTGATACATATGGCTATATCTCTTCTCATTGATACATATGGCTATATCTCTTCCCATTGATACATATGGCTATATCTCTTCTCATTGATACATATGGCTATATCTCTTCTCATTGATACATATGGCTATATCTCTTCCTCATTGATAGATATGGCTATATCTCTTCTCATTGATACATATGGCTATATCTCTTCTCATTGATAGATATGGCTATAGCTCTTCCCATTGATACATATGGCTATATCTCTTCCCATTGATACATATGGCTATATCTCTTCTCATTGATAGATATGGCTATATCTCTTCTCATTGATACATATGGCTATATCTCTTCCCATTGATACATATGGCTATATCTCTTCTCATTGATACATATGGCTATATCTCTTCCCATTGATAGATATGGCTATATCTCTTCCCATTGATACATATGGTTATATCTCTTCTCATTGATACATATGGCTATATCTCTTCCCATTGATACATATGGCTATATCTCTTCTCATTGATACATATGGCTATATCTCTTCCCATTGATACATATGGCTATATCTCTTCTCATTGATACATATGGCTATATCTCTTCCCATTGATACATATGGCTATATCTCTTCCCATTGATAGATATGGCTATATCTCTTCTGATACATGACATACATATTCTTCCCATTGATACTATATCTCTTCCCATTGATACATATGGCTATATCCTTCCCATTGATAGATATGGCTATATCTCTTCATATGATACATATGGCTATCTTCTTCCCATTGATACATATGGCTATATCTCCTTCCCATTGATAGATATCTGGATATCGATATATGGCTATATCTTGGATAGATATGGCTATATCTCTTCCCATTGATAGATATGGCTATATCTCTTCCCATTGATACATATGGCTATATCTCTTCCCATTGATACATATGGCTATATCTCTTCCCATTGATACATATGGCTATATCTCTTCCCATTGATACATATGGCTATATCTCTTCTCATTGATACATATGGTTATATCATTGATACATATGGCTATATCTCTTCATTGATAGATATTGAAATCATCTTTCTAATCCCTATCTCCGGCCATGTCTCCCATCACTCCTTACTAGCTTCTCGCTCCTCAGACACAGGAGAAGTATTTAATTTGGAGAATGTTTTACAGTCTCCACCAAGCAGGGTAATAATCTAGCACATCCATCTCCTGCCCCTTTCATCAGCCACTCAGTGCTTTGTCACTGCCTGTGTCTGGCCTATAATTAGGGGCTGTCTACACCGGCCAGGAATCTCCTCTGTAAGGAAAGTCTGACACTGGAGACCAGTGAATGTCAGGCACAGCTTCCCCAGGACACCCACCCCAGGGCTGGGGAATGTGGGTCACAATAAGTGTCATCGCTAATGATGACATCTGTCAGGACATATATCACTTATCTCAAAATACACAGACCGACCTCTACCTCACTCACTGGCACGTGGTGTCATAAGTCCCAATATACATTCATTTATTAAAATTACCATTCACATTATTAACTTATATAGCAGCAACACCTTCCGCAGCGTTGGGTTCATTAAGTCAATGACATAATAACTAAAGGTTTGACAAACAATCCAGTTATCAAGAGCCTTGTCTGCAAGCTTACAATCTAAAAACACATTTCTCTACGCATGGAAATGTTATGTCTCAAACCCAAGCTTCATATACAGACAAAACTCTAAAAATCAGCTCTCAATATACAGCTCTAATACACAGAGAGCTCATATACAGAGACTTAGCTCTCACGTTATAGCTCTAATACACAGAGAGCTCATATACAGAGACTTAGCTCTCACTTTATAGCTCTAATACACAGAGAGCTCATATACAGAGACTTAGCTCTCACGTTATAGCTCTAATACACAGAGAGCTCATATACAGAGACTTAGCTCTCACTTTATAGCTCTAATACACAGAGAGCTCATATACAGAGACTTAGCTCTCAATATACAGCTCTAATACACAGAGAACTCATATACAGAGACTTAGCTCTCACTATACAGCTCTAATACACAGAGAGCTCATATACAGAGACTTAGCTCTCACTATACAGCTCTAATACACAGAGAGCTCATATACAGAGACTTAGCTCTCACTTTACAGCTCTAATACACAGAGAGCTCATATACAGAGACTTAGCTCTCACTATACAGCTCTAATACACAGAGAGCTCATATACAGAGACTTAGCTCTCACTTTATAGCTCTAATACACAGAGAGCTCATATACAGAGACTTAGCTCTCACTTTATAGCTCTAATACACAGAGAGCTCATATACAGAGACTTAGCTCTCACTTTATAGCTCTAATACACAGAGAGCTCATATACAGAGACTTAGCTCTCAATATACAGCTCTAATACACAGAGAGCTCATATGCAAAGACTTAGCTCTCACTATACAGCTCTAATACACAGAGAGCTCATATACAGAGACTTAGCTCTCACTATACAGCTCTAATACACAGAGAGCTCATATACATAGACTTAGCTCTCACTTTATAGCTCTAATACACAGAGAGCTCATATACAGAGACTTAGCTCTCACTATACAGCTCTAATACACAGAGAGCTCATATACAGAGACTTAGCTCTCACTTTATAGCTCTAATACACAGAGAGCTCATATACAGAGACTTAGCTCTCACGTTATAGCCCAAATACACAGAGAGCTCATATACAGAGACTTAGCTCTCACTATACAGCTCTAATACACAGAGAGCTCATATACAGAGACTTAGCTCTCACTTTATAGCTCTAATACACAGAGAGCTCATATACAGAGACTTAGCTCTCACGTTATAGCCCTAATACACAGAGAGCTCATATACAGAGACTTAGCTCTCACTTTATAGCTCTAATACACAGAGAACTCATATACAGAGACTTAGCTCTCACTATACAGCTCTAATACACAGAGAACTCATATACAGAGACTTAGCTCTCACTATACAGCTCTAATACACAGAGAGCTCATATACAGAGACTTAGCTCTCACTTTATAGCTCTAATACACAGAGAGCTTATATTCAGAGACTTAGCTCTTACGTTATAGCTCTAATACACAGAGAGCTCATATACAGAGACTTAGCTCTCACTTTATAGCTCTAATACACAGAGAGCTTATATACAGAGACTTAGCTCTCAATATACAGCTCTAATACACAGAGAACTCATATACAGAGACTTAGCTCTCACTTTATAGCTCTAATACACAGAGAGCTCATATACGGAGACTTAGCTCTCACTTTATAGCTCTAATATACAGAGCTCATATACGGAGACTTAGCTCTCACTTTATAGCTCTAATACACAGAGAGCAACCGGATCCGGTAGGTGGTCTGCAATAACTAGGAGGGGGTCTTTAATAGTACTGTATGTGAAGTTTGTGAGGGGTCTCTAATTGTATGGCAAGTTATTGAAAGCGAGTGTACTCTAATGGGCAACTATTGAGAAAGACTGTACTATACTGGGCATTTATTTAGGGGGGCTGCTCTAAAATGGACAGCTGGTGGGGGTCCATTAATATAATGGACAGATGGTGGAGGATCTGTTAGTGTAGACAATTGGTGGTGGTCTGTAATAGTGTGGATAGCTAGTGGGTGGTCTGTAATATGAAATATATCCAGTGGAGGGAGCCTGTAATATTATCGATATCCACTGGAGGGGGTCTGCAATATTATCGATATCCAGTGGAGGGGTTCTGTAATATTATTGATATCCCGTGGAGTGGGTCTGTAATATGAAATATATCCAGTGGAGGGGGGCTGTCATATTATCAGTAGCCAATGGAGGGGGTCTGAAATATTATCAGTATCCAGTGGAGGGGGTCTGTAATATTATTGCTATCCAGTGGAGTGGGTCTGTAATATGAAATATATCCAGTGGAGGGGGGCTGTCATATTATCAGTAGCCAATGGAGGGGGTCTGAAATATTATCGACATCCAGTGGAGGGGGTCTGTAATATTATTGATATCCAGTGGAGGGGGTCTGCAATGTTATCAGTATCCAATGGAGGGGGTCTGTAATATTATTGATATCCAGTGGAGGGGGGCTGTAATATTATCAGTATCCAATGGAGGGGGTCTGTAATATTATTGATATCCAATAGAGGGGGTCTGTAATATTATTGATATCCAATAGAGGGGATCTGTAATATTGTTGATATCCAGTGGAGGGGGTCTGCAATATGAAATATATACAGTGCAGGGGGACTGTAATATCAGTATCCAATGGAGGGGGTCTGTAATATTATTGATATCCAATGGAGGGGGTCTGCAATATTATCGATATCCAGTGGAGGGGTTCTGTAATATTATTGATATCCCGTGGAGGGGGTCTGCAATATGAGATATATCCAGTGCAGGGGGCCTGTAATATCAGTATCCAGTGGAGGGGGTCTGTAATATTATCGATATCCAATGGAGGGGTCGGTAATATTAACAATACACAGCTCTAATACAGAGATAAAACTAATGAAATGTTAACCCACTTAATGCACAACTAGTTCTGATACACTGCTCTAATTGCAAATGTTCTAATAGACAGAATTAATAAACCTGTTATATGAATACACCAGAATATTATATATTATTGTTAGTTTTATTGCTGTGGACTCTGTGTAACATTCAAACACACTGTATATCACTGTGAGTTTTATTATTGTGGAGCTCTGTGATACACTCACACACTGCACATTGCTGTGAGTTTTATTGATGTGGAGCTCTGTGATGCACTCATACACACTGTATATTGCTGTGAGTTTGGTTGCTGTGGAGCTCTGTGATACACTTGTACACACTGTATATTGCTGTGAGTTTGGTTGCTGTGGAGCTCTGTGATGCACTCATACACACTGTATATTGCTGTGAGTTTGGTTGCTGTGGAGCTTTGTGATCTCTTGTAAAGCAGGAAGACTTGGAGCTAGGCAGTGAGATTCCCCATCCATCCAGGCTTGCTCTGATTAGCTCCCCCTCTGATGTTATACATTAATCTCACTTTATATACAGATCACATCTAATTAACTGGGAAATTCATCTGCCATGGTATTTAACAGATCCACATGGGGATGGGAAGAACATTGCTATGTTTAATTAGATAATAATAATAATAATAATTATGTTTAACCCTTTGCTAATCAGACAGGTAAAGCAGTGATCTCACTCGCCCCCAGCTTGATGTCCATTTAGAACACTAATCACAGGGGTGTCCCCAAAATTCTTCCAGTGCTACGCCAGTATGTGAATAAGCTGTGCCTCGCTATACATCCTCTAAAATCCCAAATGCAGAGACGGCCAATATTCAGGGGGCACCCGCCTTCTATTGCCCTATTCTGCAGATTCCCTCACCAACCACCATAAAGCAATTTCTGAAAGGATTAAAAAAACACAAACATATTTTATAGAGGCTTATTTACTAAACTGAGAAATGTGGAGAATTGAGAAGGAAATCACAGAATTTAGAACAAATCAGCCACAACACACACTCTCTCCATCGTCGGGCAAATTATTTTCCAATTTGGCTATTTTGGGTTAAAACGTGCAATTTTATGTAAATTCTCCACAATCCCCCCCAATTAGCGAATAATCCCCATACATATATATAATATGCTGAGATCTCCTGCGATTACGGACATTTTACCTTTATTCCTGAAGTCCTCGGTCCGTTGTTGTGCGGCAGATCTTGGGTCAGGATTTGGAGAGTCAGAGTTCGGAATTTCTCCAAACTCCCCACCCCACGTAAGTGGGAAGATACCATATCGGTGAAACTTGCAGCTGCCAAAATGTTTTCACAACCTGTCTCTCTATTAATATCCCCCGATGATTTTCTGACCAGGTTAGGAAAGCAAGAATTCCTGGGTGAGTCCATTAACCCTTACACTGCCAAGCATCTCAGAGGCAAAAAAAAAAGCAGCTTTCATGATGGCAGGAAGTTTATAAAACAGCGGCGGATTTTAATGTCACTACTTTTAGTCTAAAATAAAATGTAAAATTATTTTTTTTTTAAATGTAAACATACACGCTGCGCTTTGCTGTGAGTTTTATTGCTGTGGAGCTCTGATATATTGATGAATGCTGCACATTGCTGTGAGTTTTATTGCGGTGGAGCTCTGTGATACATTAATGAATGCTGCACATTGCTGTGAGTTTTATTGCGGTGGAGCTCTGTAATACATTAATGAACGCTGAACATTGCAGTGAGTTTTATTGCAGTGGAGCTCTTCGATACAGTAATGAACGCTGAACATTGCTGTGAGTTTTATTGTGGTGGAGCTCTGTGATACATTAATGAACGCTGCACATTGCTGTGAGTTTTATTGCGGTGTGCGGTGGAGCTCTGCGATACATTAATGAACGCTGAACATTGCTGTGAGTTTTATTGCGGTGGAGCTCTGTGATACATTAATGAACGCTGAACATTGCTGTGAGTTTTATTGCGGTGGAGCTCTGCGATACAGTAATGAACACTGAACATTGCTGTGAGTTTTATTGCGGTGGAGCTCTGCGATACATAAATGAACGCTGCACATTGCTGTGAGTTTTATTGCCGTGGAGCTCTGCGATACAGTAATGAACGCTGAACATTGCTGTGAAGCTCTGCGATACAGTAATGAACGCTGAACATTGCTGTGAGTTTTATTGTGGTGGAGCTCTGCGATACAGTAATGAATGCTGAACATTGCTGTGAGTTTTATTGCAGTGAAGCTCTGCGATACATTAATGAACGCTGAACATTGCTGTGAGTTTTATTGCCGTGGAGCTCTGATACATTATTTAACGCTGCACATTGCTGTGAGTTTTATTGCTGTGCAGCTTGGTGATCTACTCATCCTCCCTCCCGTCGCTGTAGTGGAGGCGGGGAGTGGCAGCAGACAGATCTTTGGAAAGAAGTCGAACCCTTCTGCTTACATTGGGGTTATACATCAAAGTGGTTATGGTGCCACTTTATTGCTTTAGCCCGTTTTAGGGGTTATGGTGCATGAAGTGTTCCTTTAAAATAGGGATCCTGTACTCATTGGAGTGAAGGCACTCCAAGTTATAATTATCTAGCATTCATAAAATACCAGCATATTTAGCGGTATGGTATAATTGAGGAAAAACAAAGAAGTTATGGATATATCCCCCTATTTTATATCGGGGCATGGATTGTAGAAAACATAATGTGTTTATCTCAAAATCCCTTTAGCCATATAGTCCTAGTGCCATTATTTATCTAATCATGATGTGATCAAACACACTGCATACCACATAAAAATTAACTAAGTATTTTCTGAGGTTGCGGAGCCTCTGTGGGCCTCCAGCACTGGGGTTTAACAGTCTTGCTATAACCCTTTCAATGTCAGACAGGACACAGAGCCAGCCAATAAGGTATATTCACCAACTGCTATACAACTACAGCTACTATTGTGATATCTCAGACCTCCAACTGAAGGAATGTCCCTTTCACCCACCAATAACGAAGAAAATATATACATATTGCGGCTTCAGTTCTAGTTATAAAAGGGTTAAGGGTTTGTTTTTTAGAATTTTGTACGCACTTCATGTGTGTAATGTATATGTATTCCTGGCACAGAGCTAAATTAAACATTTACGCTTACTGACCCTGTAAATACATTGAACGCTCCCAGGGAAACCATTTATAGTTTATTTCCGACTAACATTAATCTATTGTGTGGGTGATAAAAGCTTGAGAAAAAAAAAATACAACTATATTTAGGAAAAATTGGCGTTCCGCTGCTGGCGTAGGGAAACCATGATCACCGCGGAGTCACTCGGCTCTTAAAATATTTTAATAAGGAGCACATGGGTGCATTTGTGCAAAATCTGTCAGCTTGTTAAATTAGCACCTTATTAAGGATGGGGAGGGAGGGGGTGATGACTCGTACTATATTTAGAGATCTGTTTAATTTTTGTTCCGAAGTGGACCGAGGAAAAGTAATTACAAATTATTAATTTAAATGCCAATCAACACGCGCGTCGGCAGAAATCGCCCCAAGTGTAATAATATTTTACAGACATAAGACGACGAACAAATTGGTTCTTGTAATTTCTGCCTGTTCTCTTTTTAGAAACAAATACAACACCTTTTGTCTGACCGGCGGGGTAAAACGTATATATATCAGTATGATTTACTCACGCTTGATTATTTTGTACAGTTCTAGAACAAAATGTTATCTCTGATGGGTGTCTGATTGCGCTGCTACAAAGCTAAAATGGATCTGGCAAATATATCAGAAATTCTATAACGCACAGAACTGGACGCACATGGTAATCATTTTCGTAAAGCATCAACATGTGCCGCAGGTCTGTATGGTGCGTAGACAAACAATAATAATAAGTGGCGCAGCATCCAGCTCAAAATATTTACTTCTGACATCTAGGTCCAACACCTGTCACTCATTCGTGACACCGTGATCATGTAAAATCTCATTTCCTCAAGTCTCAATGGATGATAAATATAAATAAATATTATTTCATCTCTGGCAAAGCTTTTTACTTTCCTAACTCACCTGGTATCAAAGTTCTTGTCTATTCTAGCCTCACGATGTCTCTCTGCATATTGCAGAACTTTAAGCCAGTTTTACCCCAGTAATGTGGTTCTGTGATTGTGTTATAGTGCTTGGGAATAGCCCAGTTAGCCAGGATTCAGAGCCAGTCTGTCCTGGGATCAGATAATACATCCAGCTATACATGTCCTGAATGCCAGCTCTCCTATTGTCAATGCACTTTACCCTCTGTGGTCCTTACATTAGATGGTGTCTTCCTGTCCCCTGTCTGTCCCCAATAATGGATGTAGTGATTATTTGATTTGTCCCCTGCCTCTAACCTGGTGTAGAATGAGTCCACACGCTCAGCATGTGGCTTTGCTTTCCATGCATTGAGCAGTGCTTCTATTCTGTTAATAGAAGAAACTGACATGCATGCATGGACCTGCTTACTAAGAGGGAATTACTGGACCCAATATCCAAATGCTCCTGTTATATATATCAGCTCTCCCATGTGATAATATATTATATATATCAGCTCTCCCATGTGATAATATATTAGATATCAGCTCTCCCATGTGATAATATATTAGATATCAGCTCCCCCATGTGATAATATATTATATATCAGCTCTCCCATGTGATAATATATTAGATATCAGATCTCCAATGTGATAATATATTAGATATCAGCTCCCCCATGTGATAATATATTAGATATCAGATCTCCCATGTGATAATATATTAGATATCAGATCTCCCATGTGATAATATATTAGATATCAGCTCCCCCATGTGATAATATATTATATATCAGATCTTCCATGTGATAATATATTATATATCAGATCTTCCATGTGATAATATATTATATATCAGATCTCCCATGTGATAATATATTATATATCAGCTCTCCCATGTGATAATATATTAGATATCAGCTCTCCCATGTGATAATATATTAGATATCAGCTCTCCCATGTGATAATATATTAGATATCAGATCTACCATGTGATAATATATTAGATATCAGATCTTCCATGTGATAATATATTAGACATCAGCTCTCCCATGTGATAATATATTAGATATCAGCTCTCCCATGTGATAATATATTATATATCAGATCTCCCATGTGATAATATATTATATATCAGCTCTCCCATGTGATAATATATTAGATATCAGCTCTCCCATGTGATAATATATTAGATATCAGCTCTCCCATGTGATAATATATTAGATATCAGATCTACCATGTGATAATATATTAGATATCAGATCTTCCATGTGATAATATATTAGACATCAGCTCTCCCATGTGATAATATATTAGATATCAGCTCTCCCATGTGATAATATATTAGATATCAGCTCTCCCATGTGATAATATATTAGATATCAGATCTACCATGTGATAATATATTAGATATCAGATCTTCCATGTGATAATATATTAGATATCAGCTCTCCCATGTGATAATATATATAGATATCAGATCTCCCATGTGATAATATATTAGATATCAGATCTCCCATGTGATAATATATTAGATATCAGATCTCCCATGTGATAATATATTAGATATCTGTCACTCTCTGCAGTGGTTCCCAGGCCCCGCCCCCGATTCCCACGTGACTGGTTGCCGGGAATCTCTGGAGCCTCACAGGAAGTCTCGCGAGATTTGTCGGCGGTTGCTAGGAGATCGGGGACGCTGCACCGAGTAAGTAAATACCGGGGAGAGGAGCTCGGTACCGGGGGAGAGAGAGGGAGAGAGCCTGGTACGGGGGGGGGAGAGAGGGAGAGGAGGGAGAGGAGCTCGGTACCGGGTGGGAGAGAGGAGCTCGGTACCGGGTGGGAGAGAGGAGCTCGGTACCGGGGGGGGGGTATAGAGGAGGCTGGCATTGCCTGGCACGGGTGGTGCTGTGACTGGCAGGACGTTAATGCCCAGTATCCAGACCGACAGATAATATACAACTTCCAGTTTAACCCAGTCAGTGCCACGCTCCCAGTGTGTGCCCAGTCACCGCCACGCTCCCAGTGTGTGCCCAGTCACCGCCGCGCTCCCAGTGTGTGCCCAGTCACCGCCGCGCTCCCAGTGTGTGCCCAGTCACCGCCGCGCTCCCAGTGTGTGCCCAGTCAGTGCCACGCTCCCAGTGTGTGCCCAGTCAGTGCCACGCTCCCAGTGTGTGCCCAGTCACCGCCACGCTCCCAGTGTGTGCCCAATCACCGCCACGCTCCCAGTGTGTGCCCAATCACCGCCACGCTCCCAGTGTGTGCCCAGTCAGTGCCACGCTCCCAGTGTGTGCCCAGTCACCGCCACGCTCACAGTGTGTGCCCAATCACCGCCGCGCTCCCAGTGTGTGCCCAGTCACCGCCGCGCTCCCAGTGTGTGCCCAGTCACCGCCGCGCTCCCAGTGTGTGCCCAGTCAGTGCCATCCCAGTGTGTGCCCAGTCACCATGCCGCTCCCAGTGTGTGCCCCAATCACCGCCACGCCAGTGTGTACCCAGTCGCCGCCAGTGCGCCCCAAGTGTGCCCAGGCTCCCAGTGTGTTCCCAATCACGCCCCAGTGTATGCCTATCACCACCACGCCTCCCAGTGTGTGCCCAATCACCACCAGCTCCCCAGTGTGGTGCCCAATCACCGCCAAGGCCCCAGTGGTGTTCCCAATCACCACCTGCACGCCCCAGTGTGTGCCCAATCACCGCCCCCAGTGTGTGCTCCATCACCGGCCACAGTGTGTGCCAATCCTTGGCCCAGTGTGTGCCCAGTCACCGCCAGCCCCAGTGTGTGCCCAGTCACCGCCACGCCCCAGTGTGTGCCCAGTCATGCTCAGTGTGTGCCCAGTCACCGCCACGCTCCCAGTGTGTGCCCAGTCACCGCCACGCTCCCAGTGTGTGCCCAGTCACCGCCGCGCTCCCAGTGTGTGCCCAGTCACCGCCGCGCTCCCAGTGTGTGCCCAGTCACCGCCGCGCTCCCAGTGTGTGCCCAGTCACCGCCGCGCTCCCAGTGTGTGCCCAGTCACCGCCGCGCTCACAGTGTGTGCCCAATCAGTGCCATGCTCCCAATTACCCCAAATAGAAGCCCCTCTTAAATAGTTTGAATTGGGCCAGAATGTTCCAATGGTAGCCCCAATTTGCTCAGTATCAGTACTCCAGTATTATTCATAAAAGTGCAAGGGGAGGGGAGGCTGGCTGCTGATGCACACTATAATGTTTCCCTAACACTATAGCCTTCCTTTAATTTGAAATTCTCTTTGATTTCTCACTTTAGTTAATAACCTTATATGTGTTATGGTAAAACGATGCATGCTGTGATACTGATTATGTATGTGTGCTTATTTTATATATATTTGTATGAATAAAGTGTGCAGAATTTAATTCAGAGCTCTATAGGTATTAGTGTAGTGTGCAAATACACTGTAAAGATAGTTATTTGGGAATCTTCTAGTAAGATGTTGAATGGCAATAGTTCCCTATAAAACGCCCTTCGAGCTTGTATATCCTATAACATATTATTAATACGTTACTATAGAAATCATTATTACCTGCAGTCAATAGGGGACAATTTGGGACAAGCAAGTTTAACATTAGTACTACTTAGTCCATTCTAATAGAATTGTAATTAAACACTGCCACCTCCTGGCTACAAGTTATACTGCACTGACAATATCTACCAAATTTCTGGGGATGTTTTATTCAAAAGCAGAAATAGGGAGCTGTGTCTGGGACAGAAAGCTTAGCGGCCATTCTAGGTTAGCGATAGGATGGGACGTTAACGACACTTTATGTTTATTGATGCCTTGGGAGGTTATATATTAAGACTGGCAAGTTTACATAAATGGATTATTTGGTAAACTGTCAATTGTGGTAAATAAAAAACTGAATAGCAGAGTCTCTCTCTCCCTCTCTCCTTTCCCCCCCCCCGCCCATGAGTTGGAGCATTTATATCTATCCATTTGTCAGGGCTTACCTTAGCCAGATATTTGTGCTCACCCTTGCAGATATAGACAGTCCAAGGTGATAAGGTTAGAAACCATCAGGACTGTGAATCTGTGCACGGGGACTGTGCATGAAAGGTGTTTCCAATACGCAGTACAGACAATGGCAAATCCAGAAGAGTAGTCAGACACAGTTCCAGGGTCAGGGCAGGCAGCGAACAGGCAAAAAACGACGATCCAGAAGCAGGGGGGTCACAGGCCAAGTCAGTCTATAAGCAACATTAAACAACAAACCAACAAAGTTCCCAGGCGAGGGAGTGCTTTTATAGCAAGCTAATAATGACCTGCTTCAGGTGGGCTTAGATAGACAGGGGCAGCCACAGGAAAAAGTCCAGCCCCCAGTGCTGGAGACTAGGTGAGGGTAAACATAGGCAGAAATAAAAACTGAAGTGTGGCCCAGAGGCAAGACAGCAGAAAGAGTCCAGAGTTCAAATTCCCTGTTGGACACTTCTGGGGTGACCACATCTGGATCACTATTTAACCCTATTTTATGCCATTAAGTCCATTACATACTAACTAGGTTAATCAGTGAATAAAAAAATGTAGCAAATTAAAATTCAAACTGCAAAATTTATGTAAGATTGATCTTCATCATCATTATAGATGAGTTGCTTTATAAAAATTTTCAAACTCTGCCACAGTCGCAGCCAGTATTAATTTTGTCGACTGGGCCTGGGAGGATACAAAGAGTCACAGAGGGGCTGGTGAAGGGTCAAAAGAGACAGAGAGAGGCTTTAACTAAACCCAATAGATTTTAGTTGTGCCGACTAAAATCTCCAGTAGTCTATTCAGATGACTAAAATATTACTGAAACTAAAATGGCTTTTTAGTCAAAAGACTATGACTGAAACTAAATTGAAATTTACTGCCAAAATTAACACTGGTCACAGCTTGAATATTTTAATAATTAGAATTGTAAACCCATGTATTGTTGTTTAGTTTATTTTTTTGTTGATTATCAAAGAGCTTCATTGCTGAAAGTATGCGATACAATCACATTTCTCCGTATACAATGGGTAGCACATCTCTAGTAACAAGTATCACATCGTTGTACATACTGTAAGGTCAGAAATGTATCTTCTTAATAAGTACAAACAAAACATTAAGTAAGCAAAAAGAAATTATTTACAAATTACCAGGTGAGTGGACAAATTATTCAATGTATTGTGAGTAGAGCAAGGCCGCGTCACCCCGAGAACATATCTCAAAACCCTGTGTATTGTCTTTATTTTCCTTTAAATTCATTATAAAGTCAGCAATGATCAGACGAGCTTCCATCGTAGATGTCGGATGCATTACAGGGCCGCTGTAAGGTTTGTTTAACTATAACCTGTATTAGTGTCAAGCACTGTTGTACAAAATGCAATGTGATCTCGGTTAACTGACATCACCTATAGGAGAGAGAGATGGTAATAGGCCATTAATCCTGAAAGCCTTTTCCTGCACCATTGCTTCTATGACAGTCTTAATGGGAAATGGACTGCTTCTATGTTTTCAGAGCTGTAACCATGGAGATGGCACTCCCAGATGGAAAGACTCAGCATCCCGTACCGGTACAGATCACGGTTCTCAGAGCACACTATCTGGTAATACATTCAATAAATAACTATTTCCATTGTCTTAGTTTGACTCACAAATAACATCTGGTGTGTTTGTCACACAGTACATAATCAGCGGAGACACCGCTAATACACTAAATATGTGCACGTTCTGATTGGGACATTACCAACATCATGTTCTGCTGGTGTTCTGATTCTTCTTGGTTATATTAAAGGATTATTCCAATCGGGGGTGTGGGGGGAAATGTGTTTTAAGAAAAAACTGTTTTCGGTTAGATTGACCCTTCATATCCTGGTTCCCCTTCCTCCCAAAAAGAGAAAAACAGCTGAAACTTACCTCCATTCCAATGCTGAGGCCATGTTTTTCCTGCAGCAGATCCTTCATTGCCGATGTTACGCTGGAGGGAAGGCGGACAAAGGGGAGGGCAGGGGTGGCATTGTGTGGGGGTATGCCACCTTTGTTGTACGTGCTGACATTAGACATTGAATATGCACAGAATTCACATTAGCCAACCCAGATCTCTTGTTCTGGGCTGGCCAACATTGCTCCAAAGGATAGAGTGGTGTTGACTTACACCTCTGGTGTCAGAGTGGTTAACCTCTGTAACGGCAGCATTCACAACAAAATCATTGAAGTGGTCATGGTACATGGAGTAACCCTTTTCAAATTAGCAATGGCAATAATGTTTTACATATGGGCCTAGTTAAACATATTTTATGGGCTGCTACCAACCACCATTCACCCCACCTAGCATTAATGCAGAGTGTATTTAGTAACTTCCAACTGGCTACATTGCTGTAGATATAGGTTAAATCCAGTTATAAACAAATCATTCTTTGTTAATATATTCTGTCTCATGCAGAAAGGAGTAAAAAGTGACTTTCCAGTAACGTACGTAAGGTCAGAGTTTAATAATGTCCTTCTCGGGGATTCTCCAAAACTTGAATCATCGGTGGAAAAATCTACAGAATATAACTTCACCTCCAGTTTTGATGTTGGACCTGATGGCCCTCACAGCGTGGATGATGTGGCCTATAAACCTGTTGTCTGTAAGTCACTCTCCATCTCGTCATAGTCTAGCTGCTATTAGAAGTATTACAAACCATTTCTAAACGATATGATCACATTGATTGCTGTCCCGTAACTTAGCGTTTTGGGGCCTCTCTTCCAGTAACCGTGTTGGAGATCTTGCCCAAAGAGAAGAAACAGAAAGAAGAGAAGACTGTGGTTTTGGGGCAAACAACTGTGAATTTACTCCCATTGCTAAAAGGTTAGGAAGAAGAAAATGTGTAATTTGCCCTGAGCAAGGCGATGCACTAAGACTTCATCTTTCTAAAGGAGCAATATCAGCTTCTATGCAAACCTTCTGCTGTCAGTATTACTTGATTAGATACTCTTTGTGGTTAAGATAAACTACAGATTTATTCAACCATGAGTTTTAGAGCGCTGACAAGGGAATTTCAAGTTTTAGACCCCAAAAAATGCTATTCCTGGTCTATTGAAGGAGGCCAATTTCACAGTCCAGTGTTGGATTGAATGTCTGTGCTGTGTTTCAGGTGAATGTAATGTGAAGGTTACTCTCCCTATTCACGCTGTGCCCGGCTCACCTCTGGAAACTGCTCGCCCAGAAAGCAAGGTACCAGCCTGTGTTAGCTCTTTATATAAAGTTCTGTTTAAGGATAATCTGACAGTGTACATACAGCACTTTCATATCAATTAAATAATGAATTTCCCGTCTCCAGTGTTTTGAATATATTTATACACACACATCTTTTTTTACATTAATGGCCTTTCAGCTGTAGCCTAATCAGGAGAAAGTAGATTGATCAACCTGCAATTGTTTGTGTATTTTTCTCTAACTGGCGTGTATTTTATTCTTGCGTTCTAGCCAAGTTTAGAGGTGGCAGTGTCCATCCCTGAGCCTCTCCTCTCCCAGGAGCAGATAAATAAGGGTAATCTGCTTACAGTATCCGTGGAAGGTGCTTATTCTGTCCCCGAATCCTGGAACTCAACAGGGCCTCAGTACAACTATGTGGCCAGCCTTCACATCCCTGCAGCAGGAGAGGTAATGGGTATAGAGATCAGTGTGTCTATAGGTATTGGCCCACACAGCAGGAGAGATAGCGGGTCTATGGGTATTGGCCCACACAGCAGGACTCGGAGAGGTTATGGGTGCAGCGATCAGTGTGTCTATGGGTATTGGCCCACACAGCAGGAGAGATAGCGGGTCTATGGGCATTGGCCCACAAAGAAGAAGAGGTAATGGGTCTATGGGCATTGGCCCACACAGAAGAAGAGGTAATGGGTCTATGGGCATTGGCCCACACAGAAGAAGAGGTAATGGGTCTATGGGCTTTGGCACACACAGTCGGAGAGGTAATAGGTCTATAGATATTGGCCCACACAGCAGGAGAGGTAATGGGTCTATAGGTATTGGCCCACACAGCAGGAGAGGTAATGGGTCAATGGGTATTAGCCCACACAGCCGGAGAGTTAATGGGTCTATAGGTATTGGCCCACACAGCAGGAGAGGTAATGGGTCTATAGGTATTGGCCCTCACAGCCGGAGAGGTAATGGGTCTGTAGGTATTGGCCCTCACAGCAGGAGAGGTAATGGGTCTATGGGCATTGGCCCACACAGCAGGAGAGGTAATGGGTCTATGGGCATTGGCCCACATAGCAGGAGAGGTAATGGGTCTATGGGCATTGGCCCACATAGCAGGAGATGTAATGGGTCTATGGGCATTGGCCCACATAGCAGGAGAGGTAATGTGTCTATGGGCATTGGCCCACATAGCAGGAGAGGTAATGGTTCTATGGGCATTGGCCCACATAGCAGGAGATGTAATGGGTCTATAAGTATTGGCCCACATAGCAGGGGAGGTAATGGGTCTATGGGCATTGGCCCACACAGCAGGAGAGGTAATGGGTCTATAGGTACTGGCCCACACAGCAGGAGAGGTAATGGGTCTATGGGTATTGGCCCACATAGCAGGAGATGTAATGGGTCTATGGGCATTTGCCCACACAGCAGGAGAGGTAATGGGTCTATGGGCATTGGCCCACATAGCAGGAGAGGTAATGGGTCTATGGGCATTGGCCCACATAGCAGGAGAGGTAATGTGTCTATGGGCATTGGCCCACATAGCAGGAGAGGTAATGGTTCTATGGGCATTGGCCCACATAGCAGGAGATGTAATGGGTCTATAAGTATTGGCCCACATAGCAGGGGAGGTAATGGGTCTATGGGCATTGGCCCACACAGCAGGAGAGGTAATGGGTCTATAGGTACTGGCCCACACAGCAGGAGAGGTAATGGGTCTATGGGTATTGGCCCACATAGCAGGAGATGTAATGGGTCTATGGGCATTGGCCCACATAGCAGGAGAGGTAATGGGTCTATGGGCATTGGCCCACATAGCAGGAGATGTAATGGGTCTATGGGCATTGGCCCACATAGCAGGAGAGGTAATGGGTCTATGGGCATTGGCCCACATAGCAGGAGATGTAATGGGTCTATGGGCATTGGCCCACACAGCAGGAGAGGTAATGGGTCTATAGGTATTTGCCCACACAGCAGGAGAGGTAATGGGTCTATGGGCATTGGCCCAGGTAGCAGGAGAGGTAACAGGTGTAGAGATCAGTTTGTCTACGGGTATTGGCCCACACAACAGCATACATAAATTATCTTTGCCAGAACAGCGCCTCTAACAGTTTCTGTGGAAGTGAACCTATATCTAAAAACACGTTCAAATACATTGAAAAGAACATTTTACCAATATATGGTTTATTCTCTAAGCTGAGAATTATGGAGAATGGAAAAGTGATGTATTAAAAGTCATACAATATATTATATCCATGACATCACATAATGTATTCGAATCACATTATATGATATATTATTTCACTTCACATAATATCACATTACAAAATATGACAAGTGAACCCCTTGTACAGGCATTAACCCTATGTATAAGCACAGTGTATTGCAATATACCATCATGACTGTGCTGGATGGTAGGTAGAGGTCTTTACGGTATCAACCCATAGATTATTAGTATTATATGTATCAGTGACCTAAAGTTGGATAAGTCCCCTCTATTATTTTAATCAGTGATGCTAATGCTTGTATTAATTGCTGTGTGCAGAAGCCACGTACACTCCTGTTCTCTAACGGAGTTCTGAAGCCTGGTGGAGAAATGGAGACCATTCCCCGTCCGAAGAAATGGCCTGTGAGTGGAATTATGGCGACAGAGGCTCAGTATCTCCCAGAATCCTTTGTTCCATCCAGCTCATATGAAGCGGAAGATGGAGAACTTAACCGGAAGGAGGTAATGAGACGTTTATCTGTCTGGGCAAGAATGAGTCAAGGTTATTCATTAAACAGTGAATCGTTAAAGCCAAAATGAGCGGGAAAAATAGCTGACAATGAGATTCTTTCCAGTTCAAATATTGAAATAAAATGTGACGTTTCCTGATGAATTCCCACATAGTTATGCTTTAATGAATGAACATAAAATGTTTTATTCAATGAATACAAACGCAGTTACACTGTAGTATACACAGTATTGTCAGTGGGGGTTAGGTAGAAAAAGTATCCCATTCACTTTTCTTGCAGTTTTTCTACCACTCTCCTGTTTGCATATATTTATTACCTTTTTCTGTGTCCGAACTTTCCTTTGTACACCTTTTTTATCATTTTATTTTCTTTGCAATTTTTTTTTTTTGTTCTCAAACTTATTGCTTCCTTTATATATATAAAAAAAAGAGTTGCGGGATTTCTGTGACAGGTAAGCAGCTTACACATTCTTGTTTTTTTGTTAAATATATTTTAAAAATCCTTTGGATTCAATGGACATTTTCCCGTAGATATATTACTCATTTATCTTCATACACATGACTGGCACGATAACAACTGTTTGTAGCTGCTGCATTTTTTCCCAATCCCTGTTCCTATAATGAGAAGAGTAAAGGTAGACAGGACAGGGAGCTCTTATGATGCCTACTATACCCCTGTAACATTTCAACGGGTTAACCAGGAAGTGAAGCCCATGATTTAAACCTCATTGCATTTGCAGAACAATAACAACTATAAAATATGGCATGTTTAGAAAAGAAAACCATAACAATAAGCTTATAGTATATTGTATTATTTTGAAAATAAAAATGATGACAGTCACTACAGTGACAGTTTAATGGTTATAAGGTCTCATTGGGGATATATTTGTCATTTAATCGACACTTTTTGCCAACTGAACAGGACAAGGAGTTCCGGAGAGACGCTGAGACCAATAAAAAAAGACTAATGTGGGACATGGACAGACGTTGTTACCTTGAACCATCAGCACTGAGCAGGTGACCATTCAAATCTCGCGTCATCATTTACACTAAAATGGGAACTAACCTGAATTTTAATCATTTGCATTTTTTACGTTCATTTATAAAACTTGGATTTGTGGAGAACTGGCAAGGGAGTTGCAAGTTTTATGTCAAAAAAGGTAAATTGGATGAATACTAAAGATGAAGATTTTTTTAATTCTTCTAATTTGGCCTAACATTTGAAATTCCCCTGCCAGTGTCTAACCTGCTTTGTATTGTATCGTACAACTCTGCAGAATGCCATGTGCTTTGCCTTTATCAGCTAAAAGCTGTTGATAATTTCTTGCAGCCTTCAGATGCGCATAGCTGAATGCCGCTATTGGCCTGTGGAAATAATGAGACTTCCTATTGCCAGCACCTCCAAGGCAAAAACAGGCAGAGCCGACAAAGTAAGTTTCATACGTCCTTACCCTAACCGAAATGATTCCAATGCAGAAAGACAACCAAAATGTAACAATTGTAGGAATAAGCACATCCCATAATGTCTATTTTCTTCTTCTAAGTATATCACTGATAGCTAGAACCCACCTGTTTAATCACTCCGAGGCTTTGAAAGTATCATGGGAGTTGAAGATACCCAAAGGTTAAGGTAGTGAATGTCTTTTGGAAACCACTGGAGAAAATATCAGCCATATACGCGTTGCTGGGAGGGAAGGGGTTAAAATGCTTACTCAGTACACTGTTATTTGAAAAAATGTGTATAATTAGCATTGTTATAATAAATTCTCTAAACTATTATCAGGGTGAAGAGGATTTTCAGGTCTCTTTCCATGGGGTGGCTTTCGTAAACATGGTTCCTCTGCTGTATCCTGGCATTAAATCACTTCGAGGTGCGTTCCGCGTCTTTCCTTACGCAGAGACCGAAGTATTTGAGAAGGTGAGAGCCAGGTTCTAGATTGACTAGTGAAACGATAAAAAGTCCTAATTAAAACATGTATCTTACAGTGTTCATGGACTCCCTGCTTACTGTGAGTGATCAGTTCCGGATTTAATCACTTTTCCACTATAGTAGTCAATATGGACATTATTAACCGCTTATTGCTATATGGAGAAATCTGAATGGCAACTTCGAGTGAAGATGGAATTATTCTCTTTGTGGAACAATTTGCAATCTCTCAAATATGAACGTACAAAGCCTTGGTATCTTGGTATAGTTTCTGTACAAAGCCAATGATGAATAAAGCACATTGAAAGAAAAAAAAATGGAAGGACCATGGTTTAATTCTAGGTGCCTACAATATTTAGCGGCTGCCATTGGGTTTATTCACTGAACTCTGAATTGCAGCGAATTTAGACCAAAATTGTTGATTTGGAAAAACAATATTCCAGCTTGACTTATAAGACTAGCCTCAATTTGAGAATTTAGATTTCAGTTCACAACCAGACTGGGGGATTTGTTCACTAAACTCCACATGATAAACACCCAATAAACCATGAGAAGATTTTTTGACTGTAGTCCTAGTAAGGTGCAAGAGCAGAGGGGCCACTGAAAAAACCATTGTAGTTCTGCACCAGCTGGAGCATTCTGACCTGTTGTAAAGCACAGTATGTTCCTTTTTACAAATCTAAGATGGCGGCTGCCACATACAGCATAGCCGGCACTCAACACGAAATCTCACAGAACAAAATATAATCAGCTTTGGACATTCACCCCTCTGAGAGCTTTTAATCCAAGACTACTTTTTATCACGCTCATCCCTCTATATCTCTATTCTTTTATTTTCTGGGGGGTTTTCTAGTCTATTTAACACTTCATAATGTGTTCCTGTGGGTTGCAATTATTATTATTGTTATTATTGCGCTAACATATTCCACAGGAATGTGCAACGTAAATCTGAAATCACGAATGTTAATGTAATCTTAAACAAGAAGGGATGATGGTGCTTCTCAAACAAGGTTACCAGCATTATAAAATAATTATTTGTATCTGATGTTACTTATTGTACATGGGTATTTCTGCTACATGCTAATTTATTACCAGTGTTGGAATTATGGGTTTATATTTAACACATGATAATATTATTTGGGTTGTCATGGCAGCAGCCTTTCTTGAAGGGTAAAATGGTGGCTCCCAGTCATTTATTAATTTTTTTACCATTAATTCCACCCAGACAAAGTCTCAGGTCAGCGTTCTTCGTGACGTTGTACGGCAATCAGCTTTGATAAATAAGCCTGCTGCTCCTCAAGCGAACATCGGCTCTCCCCATGTTCGGCAGGTACCTAGTCGCACCTTGAAAGACGAGAAAGGCCCAAAGGAAGCCGGCAGAAGGGTGAGCTTATTTGCTTGTCAATGAAGAAGAGATGAATATAAATGGTCAAATAGCTTGCTTTTGGATGGTTCAGGAACTTGTTGGCATTAGTGGGAATGCAACTTCCTAAAAATGCTACCGCTAAGTAAAAATAATGTCTGTTTATGGGAATTATACCCATGTAAAGGTGACTCAGTTTCAATATGTGTTAGTGCATATCCCCCAAATGCATATGTAAAGCTATCACAGAACTCTTTTTATATAGGGGGCATTACATTGTGTGTTGTTAATGCATTAGCATGACACTGATTCTCAGAATTCCGTGTGTTTATGCAGATGTCCGCTCTGTTGAAGGCAACAGATTTTACAGGAGATGGAGAAGGGGTTCTTCCTGTCCTGCCACAAAATGCCTCTCAAAACCTGGAAGGGCAGGTAAAAACCTACAAATACTACTATAAAGAACTGTCATTATCTGTCAGGAAGCGTGTGAAGGAAGGGGCAATGTGTTGGTAAAGTAAAATTGTGGCCAGTTTAGCTTATGTTAGATAGACTTCCTACAATAGAAATAATATAAGTAGTAATGTTAGTTTTAAAAACAATAATTTCTGCGTTCATTAGGTAACTGAAGGAGACTCCCCCAGGACTTTCTTTTCTATTGAACTAAGCATTTTCACTGACTTTGATGGGTGTTTATAATATAAACCAAGTTGTGGTCTGCTCCAGCGTAGTGTCCCTTTAACCCTGCGTTGGTCCACTTTACTCAGTTTCTGAAACTGGGAGCAGACCTGCTGAGAATTTTATCAACACTAATCAACTGCCTCGAAAGGACCCATCAGGCACCCACTCGTGTTAGGTTACAGTTAATTCTGCTGAGTGGGATTTATTAATAACTAGATTGTAAGCTCTTTCAAGCATGAACATCAACCTATTGATCCTGTAACATTTTTAATTATTTCATTTATTGTTAAATCTCCCTCTTTATAAAATTATAAAGCGCAGCGGAATAAGTTGGCGCAATATAAATGCCAATATCATTGATAATAATTTGTTTTGCTACAGAAGCCCAGCGCTTCCCTGTTTGCTCCAAAAATACTGTTGACGTATTAGGTTTCTGGGAGTTGTGGTTCAGCTATTGAACTACAAGTACCTGAAACATTTGCTATGCCCACAGATACTGCTTATAGGAAAAACTCTGCAATGCCAAAGAATAGTTAAGTGAGCATCATGATTGGTCGAGTTCACTTCAAAAGTTCAGGGGATAATCCGCTAATGGAGGGACTTCAAATGTGAGGAAAGTTTTAAATCTCAAGCCACAGCTATTTATAATAATAATAACATTATATTGTAAGTAACATATCCGACACGGTAATGGATCACGTCTCAGTGGGTTTATTTACGAATCTGGCGATTATTGAGAATTTACAGAGAAATTAAAGATTTTACGCCAAACTAGATGAACTGCAGAAATGATACAATTCATGTATTTTGCTCGGAACTATGCAATGCCCTTGTCAATTCTCCAGAAATCGGTTATTCTTTTTAATAAACCCCTATATGGAATTCATGCCAAATGTAGCAGGTTTTTCTGATTGGCGACTCTTTTTACGTCCTAACAGCAATACACAGAGGCAGGCACATACATTTTGCTGGAACTGAGTCTGGAGAAAGCTATGGTGCCGAAGCGTTCATCAGAAGAGCTGGATATTAAGTGAGTTACACAGCCTCTTATTTTACCGGGAACATTAGTGAAAAGTTAAAGAGACACTTTCCTAGCCCCTGCTAATTAGTGCAAATCAACGATAAGAGTCCTTTTATTTAAAAAATTGTGGGGGATTTTTCAATTTATTTAAATGTGTTATCTGTCTCAGCTTAAATATTAAAAGGAATGCTTATGATATACATTTAGCAACTGCTCTAAATGATTTAGAGCTATTCTACTTTTCTGTAAAAAAAATAGTCATTTATTGCTTTTTTTATTTATATGGAGTTTATATAACACTGTCAAGTTATTAAAACAGCATTTAACTTTTTATTATCCCTACTTTGCTTTACATCTGAATGTATTCCCTGTTCATAGAGTAAGGGAACTGCTTCCTCCACGGCCCCAGTTACCTCGACGGACAATGGGAGCACAGAAGGTAAGCTAGAAAATTCAAATTCAGAGCAGATCTTCAAAGCAGTAGGCCTTATTGAGTCAGTCCATTGACATCGTTATCACTGAATCACTGTGCATGCTATCCATCGACTTTATTAAATCACTGAGACGTTCTGCCTAATACATTTCTTTTGTCGTCTGTTCAGGCAGTCGCAGATTATCAGAATCAGATCACCAGCATTACCAACTCATTACTTGAGGAGTACTGGCAGCTGTTTGGGCAGGAGGTGGAGAATGGACAAGAGATAGATAGACAGACCTTGGATGAACAAAAAAGCCAACTCAACTATGAGCTGAATTGCTCTGGGAAATACTTTGCATTTAAAGAACAACTTAAGGTAGCTACATTGTAAACGTCAAATGCTCAATCTCTATATTCAATAAAACTGCCAATCAAAACAGCAGCGAGACATGCTGCATCTGACATCCTTTTCTGATAGGAGTCACCTCAATCTCCAACGGAGTAACCCAAAAGTAAATACCTGGGGGAAGAACTGAACATGCCAGTTTCCCAAAAAACATCACGTTTAGCTTTTTCGGCACTTCTCTTGTTGGGCACTCAGGACATTTATCCTCTTCTGTCATTCCTGAGAGAGAACTCCCATTAATCTATAAATTTCTATTCAATGAGAATATTTTTGGCAGTTTTAAATTTTGTAGAGAAAACAGGTTATTTAGTTCAGATTTGCAGTCTGTATCAGTGGCTCCCAACCCGCTCCTAAATACACCCCAGCAGTCTAGGATTTAGACATTCCACAGTTCTATACTGTCCTACATTACACCTACAGACATAAAAAAATGGTATAACTGTAACGGTTAAAAACTGTTTAGGCGATATTCCCCTTTTCAGATGCACAGACAGCTACTGCAATCACCAATCTCCCAAACTGCAAACACATGAATTCACCAGTCTCCCGAACTGGAACCAGGGGAATGCTCCAAACTCCCGAACAGGAAACACACAAATGCTGTAAACAGCCGAACAGGAAAAACCACACGAACAGTTTACACTCCTGGCAGTCGCACTGTAACAGCATACAATCCAATTCCCCCCAAGAACGAGACGACACTTCGTTTGAGGGTCAAGCAGAACTGATTTACTGGGGCTACCTGCCTGGCTTTTATGCAGGTCTCCCACCTGGTGGACACTCCCCTAGGGGACCAAATGGAAGACTGGGAAACATATTGGACATTGACCAATCACAAGCTTACAATCCCACAATGCATCACAATCCCTCCTCTCTGTCCTTGAGATAATTGGGAAGTAATCCAATTATCTCCAAGGACAGAGGCAAAACTCCATTAACCACATGGCAGACAAAGGACAATAAAAGACATAAAAATACATACTGTTACATTTATCACATAGAACATACACATTCTACCTATCCCCAGATAGCTTAGATCTGAGCGCACATTACTACCGGATGGCGCTCAGATCACATACATACAGTTCAATCGCCATGGAGCCAAAGGCTTTCATACAGTCTTTCAGCATACGGCTGGGCTCCATGGCATAGCTATCTGGGGTAGCATGGTTTAAACAGTAAAGTACCGAATAAACCGTTGTTCGGATAATTGACTGCAGGTAGGAGAAGGGAGGTCGGCGGCTCAGCGGTGTTCGTGACTTTAACAGTCCGCAGAAAGGCATGAACCAGCCTTTCTGCAGGGAAAGAGAACAGTGTTAAACATGGGGCCATAGTTCAGCGGCAGGAGGCGGGCGACCAGGCTCCTCCAGTGGCCAGTGGTGAGGTTGGTCCCGCCACAATAACTTCCAACATTTTAAATGGGCATAGTGGGACCCTGTAATATTAGAGGTGTGGCCGGGGCAGGGCTGTTCTGAGACATTTTAGGAGACTTACTAATAACAATTTATCAAAAAATTGGAAACATACACAAGGGACCGGAAGGTAGGGACAGGTAAAAATACCCTGCCTCTCTCCCTTCCCCTGGGTAAATATGGTCACCTAAACTGGGTAATAGGGGATAACCCAAGAAATAATAAATTATAGAATAAAACTTCCAAAAGAAGCTGCCTTACTAAAATGCAGCCAATAGGAAAGGAACCCAGTCCAATCTCAAAAGAAAGTATAAATAATACCAAAAAAAAAAAAAAAAATAATAATAAAACTTTATTAGAGTATAGTAAAAAAAAAAATATATATCTATAACAATTTATAGAAGTAAAATGTAATTTAGAACAAGAACAATGTATCCTACTTACACAGACTGATTTCTAAACACATTTATTGCTGTTTAAAGACACTGTATTGCTGTTTTAATACTGGGAGTATTATTGCTGTGGGGCTCTGTTATACACTCAGACACATTACTGGGAGTATTATTGCTGTGGGGCTCTGTTATACACTCAGACACATTACTGGGAGTATTATTGCTGTGGAGCTCTGTTATACACTCAGATGCATTACTGGGAGTATTATTGCTGTGGAGCTCTGTTATACACTCAGACACATTACTGGGAGTATTATTGCTGTGGGGCTCTGTTATACACTCAGACACATTACTGGGAGTATTATTGCTGTGGAGCTCTGTTATACACTCAGACACATTACTGGGAGTATTATTGCTGTGGGCTCTGTTGTACAGGCAGACACATCACTGGGAGTATTATTGCTGTGGAGCTCTGTTATACACTCAGACACATTACTGGGAGTATTATTACTGTGGAGCTCTGTTATACACTCAGACACATTATTGGGAGTATTATTGCTGTAGAGCTTTGTTATACACTCAGACACATTACTGGGAGTATTATTGCTGTGGGGCTCTGTTATACACTCAGACACATTACTGGGAGTATTATTACTGTGGAGCTCTGTTATACACTCAGACACATTATTGGGAGTATTATTGCTGTGGAGCTCTGTTTTACACTCAGACACATTACTGGGAGTATTATTACTGTGGAGCTCTGTTATACACTCAGACACATTACTGGGAGTATTATTGCTGTGGAGCTCTGTTATACACTCAGACACATTATTGGGAGTATTATTGCTGTGAAGCTCTGTTATACACTCAGATACATTACTGGGAGTATTATTGCTGTGGAGCTCTGTTATACACTCAGACACATTACTGGGAGTATTATTGCTGTGAAGCTCTGTTATACACTCAGACACATTACTGGGAGTATTATTGCTGTGGAGCTCTGTTATACACTCAGACACATTACTGGGAGTATTATTGCTGTGGAGCTCTGTTATACACTCAGACACATTACTGGCAGTATTATTGCTGTGGAGCTCTGTTATACACTCAGACACATTACTGGGAGTATTATTGCTGTGAGCTCTGTTATACACTCAGACACATTACTGGGAGTATTATTGCTGTGGAGCTCTGTTATACACTCAGACACATTACTGGGAGTATTATTGCTGTGGAGCTCTGTTATACACTCAGACACATTGCTGTGAGTATTATTGCTGTGGAGCTCTGTTATACACTCAGACATTATTGGGAGTATTATTGCTGTGGAGCTCTGTTATACACTCAGACACATTACTGGGAGTATTATTGCTGTGGGGCTCTGTTATACACTCAGACACATTACTGGGAGTATTATTGCTGTGGAGCTCTGTTATACACTCAGACACATTACTGGGAGTATTATTGCTGTGGAGCTCTGTTATACACTCAGACACATTACTGGGGGTATTATTGCTGTGGAGCTCTGTTATACACTCAGACACATTACTGGGAGTATTATTGCTGTGGAGCTCTGTTATACACTCAGACACATTACTGGGAGTATTATTGCTGTGGAGCTCTGTTATACACAGACACATTACTGGGAGTATTATTGATGTGGAGCTCTGTTATACACTCAGACACATTACTGGAAGTAGTATTGCTGTGGAGCTCTGTTATACACTCAGACACATTACTGGGAGTATTGTTGCTGTGGAGCTCTGTTATACACTCAGACACATTACTGGGAGTATTATTGCTGCGGAGCTCTGTTATACACTCAGACACATTACTAGGAGTATTATTGCTGTGGAGCTCTGTTATACACTCAGACACATTACTGGGAGTATTATTGCTGTGGAACTCTGTTATACACTCAGACACATTACTGGGAGTATTACTGTGGAGCTCTGTTATACACTCAGACACATTACTGGGAGTATTATTGCTGTGGAGCTCTGTTATACACTCAGACAAATTACTGGGAGTATTCTTACTGTGGAGCACTGTTATACACCCAGACACATTACTGGGAGTATTATTGCTGTGGAGCTCTGTTATACATTCAGGCACACCAATACAGAGCTCCTAAAAGAGAGGGACATTAGGATAGAAATCACATCATTTCTGGTATATGTAATGTGTTCTCTTTTATTGTTGCAATAGGGAACATGGGTTACATGGATGTGATTTTGAGCATTAATATCTTTATGTCTCTATTAGGTACATACCGATGACTACCGTTGTGTTATCAGTATGTTTTGTTCTTGGTAAACATTTTTTTTTTATCACCATGGCAACCGCAATCCTACAGAGGGCATACATTAATATATATTTAGCTTTTACTAAGAACAAGCCTTATACAGGCTGTCTATATCGTTTTAGTTCACTATACTTCTCAATATTAACTGTGTGTCTGTAATAATGCAACATGTATCTGTATGTCTTCAGCAGTAAGCATTTCATCTTCTTTGTGCTTGTTAAAATTAAAAGATTTGTATTCTCTGCTTTGAATTAAAGAGATGAGTTGGAAATTTCCCCCCTTAGATTCATTATTTTGGCCTGAGAATTCCCTTACAATGTCTCTAACCAGTTCCTGCTTTAAGAAAGAAACTGGTTAACATAATACTTTCATACTAAGCACTTAAAGGGAACCTATATTCCCAAAAATAGCAATCTTTTTGTTGTTGTTGTGATCTCTGTTGACCCCTCTTTGCTGCTAAAGAGTTAGAATAAAGTGTATGTACATATCTTGATTCCAGCACCAAGACACCTCTGCTGGAGCTGCCTGCTCCACCTCTGCCAGCAAACCTGCTGACATCTTCCACTATCTCGTCCAATCCAATACTACCCTAGATCCGCATGTGCGGTAAATCACCGCGCTCCCCCATGAGCATCATTGGATTGAAGGACTAAGTTTTACTCCAGTTTGTTCAGGAAGACAGCCACTAGAGGGGTATTAAGGAGGTGCTGCACTTGCAGGATTATGACACAGAATGCCAAAACCCAGAATAGGATCTTTCTGAAAAAAAACAAAAAAAAAAACAATGGAAGGTGTTAACTAGATTGGCTTAGGTTTGGAACTAATATGTATTTTTGGAAATTAAGTCAATTTAAATAAAAATGGCTTTGAATCAAATAATGCAATAAATATGCGGGGAGAGGATTTCTGAAATGTTCTCCTTTTTGCAGCATGCGGTTGTGAAGATTGTGAGGGAGAAATACCTGAGGACTACGGCTTTTGAAGATCCCGAGCAGCTGCAGACATTCCTGAGTGAGCTATACATCTATCTGGTGGATCAGATGCACATCACCCTAAATAAGGTGAGTCCGACTCCCATCGCCCTGAATAGGTAAATCAGGTGCACATCACCCTAAATAAGGTGAGTCCGACGCCCATCGCCCTGAATAGGTAAATCAGGTGCACATCACCCTAAATAAGGTGAGTCAGACGCCCATCGCCCTGAATAGGTAAATCAGGTGCACATCGCCCTAAATAAGGTGAGTCAGACGCCCATCGCCCTGAATAGGTAAATCAGGTGCACATCGCCCTAAATAAGGTGAGTCCGACGCCCATCGCCCTGAATAGGTAAATCAGGTGCACATCGCCTCTAAATAAGAGTCCGACGCCTATCGAATAGTAAATCAGGTACGCGCCTCTAAATAAGGTGAGTCCGACGCCCATCGCCCCTGAATAAGTAAATCAGGTGCACATCACCCTAAATAAGGTGAGTCAGACGCCCATCGCCCTGAATAGGTAAATCAGGTGCACATCGCCCTAAATAAGGTGAGTCAGACGCCCATCGCCCTGAATAGGTAAATCAGGTGCACATCGCCCTAAATAAGGTGAGTCCGACGCCCATCGCCCTGAATAGGTAAATCAGGTGCACATCGCCCTAAATAAGGTGAGTCCGACGCCCATCGCCCTGAATAGGTAAATCAGGTGCACATCGCCCTAAATAAGGTGAGTCAGACGCCCATCGCCCTGAATAGGTAAATCAGGTGCACATCGCCCTAAATATGGTGAGTCAGACGCCCATCGCCCTGAATAGGTAAATCAGGTGCACATCGCCCTAAATAAGGTGAGTCAGACGCCCATCGCCCTGAATAGGTAAATCAGGTGCACATCGCCCTAAATAAGTTGTCCGACGCCCATCGCCCAGGTGAATAAATAAGGTGAGTCCGAATCGCCCTGAATAGGTAAATCAGGTGCACATCACCCTAAATAAGGTGAGTCCGACGCCCATCGCCCTGAATAGGTAAATCAGGTGCACATCACCCTAAATAAGGTGAGTCAGACACCCATCGCCCTGAATAGGTAAATCAGGTGCACATCACCCTAAATAAGGTGAGTCCGACGCCCATCGCCGTGAATAGGTAAATCAGGTGCACATCACCCTAAATAAGGTGAGTCCGACGCCCATCGCCCTGAATAGGTAAATCAGGTGCACATCACCCTAAATAAGGTGAGTCCGACGCCCATCGCCCTGAATAGGTAAATCAGGTGCACATCACCCTAAATAAGGTGAGTCAGATGCCCATCGCTGTGAATAGGTAAATCAGGTGCACATCACCCTAAATAAGGTGAGTCCGACACCGATCCATATTAAATACCCAAACCTGTTCAAAATAGAATTTCTGCAGATCGGGGACAGATATAAATGGTTGTACTTTATTCAAACGAGATAAGGGGGCAATCAACTCTTACCGTTAATTTGATACTGTTTGTGACATCAGCAGACTTCATATTTTGTACTCTATAACGTCACGGGTGATAAATAAAATAAATGCAGCCTAATAAGAAAACTTAAAGCTCTCATAAAGAGTTCACACCAAAAAAACATTAGATACGTCTTCTAAGAAAAAGATCTCTGATGTCCGTATAGAATTAACGGAAAATAAATATATAACAACCCAAATATATTAAATCATAGCAGGTCAAGGACAACGCCTGCCTGGAAACTATATTCCGAGTAGATACAATAATATATAGAGTAATGGTTCTAAATACAATATTATATAAGGTAATGCTGCTACTTTACACAATAATTTATACAACAATATATACAGTAACAGGACTATACACAACACTATATACAATACTCTACACATTATACTGTATACAATAATGCATTGTGCATTTTATGCTTTAAACATTTTAAACAATAAAAATAACTTTTGCAAACCGCAGACTTTGTTTGAAGACAGAGAAGACCCCCCACCTCCTCCTATGAGCGACCCTGAACAACTATACCGCTTCGCCCAGGAAGCAGAGCTCAATGAAGACTTTACACTGGCCGAGCTTTACTACCAGGAGGTAACAAAACTGTGATTTCACTTGGAACAGGGCAGCGATCACACTGGGGTTTCATAGAAAGTGCAGCCATGTTTATATAGTGACTTGTAGTAAAGTGAACTCTGAATGGCCAATTCTGGCTATAACAGCAGAGCTGTGACTAGCTGAGATTGACAGGTTTTCCACATCCACTAGTTTGGCTGAAGTTTTGCCATTTAGACGTTAATTCCCTGTAATTCAGTGTTTAGTGAACAAAACCCACGTGCTATTTTCACAATTTATGCTACAATAGTCAAATGGTATAAATTCTCCGAACCAGGGATGCTTTCACTTCACTATCAATCCCCAACAATTCACACTCTAGTGAATAACCCTGAGCTGTTAGTTTGTATTTATTTTAGATATATTAGTTATTATTATTAGATTATTATTTATGACTAAGAAATAATGACTGGTTGATGATTCCTTCTACCCTTACAAGGATTATGTTAATTGTATTATATAAATGTACACGTGTAGGGTCATTTGGGAATAGAACCCCAGACAGAAATGGGATACGGCTGTATAATCTATAGAGGGAACATATAAAGGAAAAAACACAATAGTGTGATACAGTAAATACAGTGAATAGTGCGCTTAAATGGATGCACTCACAAGATGATGAAGATGAAAAAGCATTCATAGGGTGCCTCCCCAGATAGCATAGGGGGCTAGTGGTTTCCCCTATCCGATGTAAGGCGACCAATGGAACACGGGACTCCAGGTTAGTAATAGTAGAAAAGCAATACTTTTATTTTCTTAAAAGGTGAACAAGCACCATAAGAATAAAGGTTTAAAAGTGCAGCAATAGGTCCAACGCGTTTCGTTCAAGACTAGAACTTCATCAGGGACCGCACAGTAAAAAAATCACAGACAATATCATAGATTGTAAAATAACATCCTACTTTCCCCTTAACAAAATCTCTATATATAGGGCTAGTCCCAAAGTCCCATTGGTCCATAGTGTAGGAGTATCCAGTAGCCAGCCAATCATCTATCCAGGGGTATTGTCCTCCAGCTGATAGTGTTTGGGTAGTTTAAAAAGGGCGCGTTCAATGTAAAAGCCGAAACCGGAAGTGGATGTCTGCCTTCACTTCCGCGTTCCATTTGCGTTCCATATGCGTTCCAAACACGCTCCAAATGCGTTCCAAATACATTTACTGCTCTTTTTCAACTAGAACAGCGAGGAGCCAACAATATAAGTGATCATCAAAAGGACAAAGCCCAAAAGTGTTAAATGCATTAAATGTAATTAATCTTTAAAAGAAGAAAAGTGAATTAGTGCATGTAATATACAACAACCATGTTAAGATAGTTAATATGGAACTTCCCCACATATTATATATATGACAATATCATACACCATTGAATAGTGCCATGTATGTCTATTTAAAGTGACAAACATCTCATTATTCAAAAAATAAGAACACAAATAATATATTCCTAAAAAAAGTTCCCTCAATATCAATAATAATCATTTTAAACCATATAACCTGCAAGGTACACCTAACTATATAATATAAAGATTTTTTTTTTTTTTTTATTATATAAATTATGAATTGTATTGATTAAAGACACTTCTTTTTCCCTATATTTAGACTGCCAGAGCTCCTCATATTCCCAAAGATACTTATGGAATAATTTACATAAAGGAGAAGAATAACCAAAAAAATCAGTCCAAGAAACACACCAGATCGATCCCAATATTCAGGCCCCTAGGTTCAAGGGTCTTTAGTTTGTGTATCCAAAAGGTTTCCCTTTGGGATAACTTTTTAATCCTATCACCTCCCCGCCAGTAGGGAAGGACATGTTCGATACCCATACACTTGAAATCTCTAAAGGAGAAGGATGGACAATTACTGCAATGGGCAGAGACTGAATGAGTAACCAGTCCTTTACGTATATTATTTAGGTGTTCCAAGATCCTGACTTTCAGGATACGTTTCGTGCGTCCCACATACTGTTTGCCACACGGACACTGCAGTAAGTATACTACATAGTCCGTGTGGCAACCTATTAATGATTTAATCTTGAAAGTCTCCCCCGTGATATGGCTAATAAATTCCTTAGTTCTCCCCATAGAGGCGGTGGTACATGCTTTGCACACATTACATCCCCTAAAACAACCCGATTCAGGGGATACATTAGAACTATTCATTTTAATAGCATAGCTAGGGGCTAGCATATTTTTTAAGTTCTTATTTTTCTTAAATATCACCATCGGGCGTTCAGACAAAGAATTACCCAAAATGGGATCCTGTTGTAATATGGGCCAAAAATCACTTAGGCTCCTTTTGATCTTAAAATGATCCGTATTATATTGGGTGACAAAGGCTGATTTAAAATTCTTATTCCCAACAGTATTAGGAGGTTTATCCTCCAGGAGTTTGTTCCGTTCAAGGAGACCAATTGATCGAATTTCTTTTTCTAACGTATTCTTATTGTAGCCCCTTGCACATAATTTATTTTTTATATGGGAAGATTGAGTCTGGAAGTCTTGAGGGCGAGAACAATTGCGTCTCAATCTGGTAAATTGGCTCCGTGCTATGCCCCTAAGCCAAGGCTTATGGTGACAGCTTTGTTGGTGTACAAAGCCATTCCCATCTGTTGGTTTAAAAAAAACATTTAGTTTGAATTTGACCCTGATCACAAAAAATATCAAGATCCAAAAAATGGATCTCATGTTTATTCCACTCGGGGGTGAAGACAAGATTGTATAAGTTGGAATTTAAATATTGAACATAATCAGAAAAACTATTGGAGGACCCCTTCCAAATGATGATCACGTCATCGATATAGCGCCGCCAGAGCACCAAGTTCTCCCTCCAGTCATGCTGCGACCACACGAATAATTCCTCCCATCTACGCATGTAGGTGTTGGCATAACTGGGGGCGAACCTGGTGCCCATGGCGGTCCCTGTGATCTGTAGATAATACTGATCATTAAAAAAGAAAAAATTATGTTCCAAAATAAATTGTACTGAGGTCAATATAAATTCCTTTTGACCTTGAGATAGGTCCTGATCTTGGGACATATAGTAATCAAGAGACTCCAATCCTAAACAATGACTAATTACCGTATACAGAGAGGTCACGTCTAGCGTGGCCCAACTGTATTCAGGGTTCCACTCAATGCTGTCCAGTTCTTGTAAAAAAGACTTGGTATCCCGTATAAAGGAGGGCGCCCCTTGGGCGTACTTTTGAAGGAAAGAGTCCACATACGCGGACAGATTAGCAGTGAGCGAGTTAACTCCACTGATAATAGGGCGACCTGGTGGATCAGGGAGGCGTTTATGAGTGGTATAAATTCTCCGAACCAGGGATGCTTTCACTTCACTATCAATCCCCAACAATTCACACTCTAGTGAATAACCCTGAGCTGTTAGTTTGTATTTATTTTAGATATATTAGTTATTATTATTAGATTATTATTTATGACTAAGAAATAATGACTGGTTGATGATTCCTTCTACCCTTACAAGGATTATGTTAATTGTATTATATAAATGTACACGTGTAGGGTCATTTGGGAATAGAGAGGACTTGACAGAGAAATTGCAGTAGTTTGTTAAAGGGACACTATAGTCACTAGATCAACTACAGCTTATTGAATTTGTTCTGGTGAGCAGAATCATTACCTTTAGGCTTTTTGCTGTAAACACTGTCTTTTCAGAGAAAATGCAGTGTTTACATTACAGCCTAGTGATAACTTCACCGGCCACTCCTCAGATGGCTGTTCGAGATCCTTCCTGGGTCATGGCTGCCTAAAATGCATCCGAACATTCAGTATCTCCCCCCTCTGCATGCAGACACTGAACTTTCCTCATAGACATTCATTGATTCAATTCATCTCTATGAGGAGATGCTGATTGGTCATGGCTGTGTTTGAATTGTGCTGGCTCTGCCCCTGATCTGCCTCCTTGTCAGTCTAAACCAATCCTATGGGGAAGCATTGTGATTGGATCAGGCTACCACTTCTGCTGATGTCAGCAGGCAGTTGGCAGATCTAAAGGAAACCGTGACAAAGCATGCAGCTGCAGACTTGAATACAAGTAAGATTTTACAAGATTTAGGGAGGCATGAGGGGACCAGGGGGACTAGATGGTGGTTTTAACCCTATAGGGTCAGAAATACATATTTGTGTTCCTGGTCCTGTAGTGCTCCTTTAAAAATAAGTAAGGTAGAGGAGATTGTTCTGATCCGGCTGTTTTGTCTTTGGATTGCAGACTCATAGTCAGTTCTATGACATTGGTGGATTAGTGGATATTACTAAATATGACCAGAAACCCTCTAACATTTCTGTTCATCTCCAGAAAGCAAAGTATATACCTTAGGAAAATGAAACAGAGCAATTCATGTAGTTTTACAATGGTAGTTTCAACCACAATAGGAAATGCTTTTTATTCTGCTTATTGATCCTTACGTCACACTAAAATGAACCAGTCCTGACAATCAGATAATTGTTAGTTTACAGATTGAGTGTATTTCTAAGCAGTGGTGATGCTGCTGCTGCTGTTGCTATAGTTACTGTTCTTATAAAATGATGTTCAGTAGTGATAATGGAGCATCACCTGTAAAGAAACTTGCACTTGTATTCACCATTTACTTCTTTAATAGCGGTGAATGATAAAATGATGACTTGCTGAGGTTAAAATCACATGTATGTTTAGGTACGCTGGCCACCTACCCTATGCCAGGAATTCTATGTGATCTGTCACTGTTACCTGCTATGAATGGATATATTATATGAAATCATTGGAGGGGTTCCCTATATAAAATTTATAGTTTAGGACGCCCGTTTCACGGTCAGACCTCCTTGACACTGGCTGCCACGGTGAGGTAGCTGGGGCACACTTAGGCTGGTCACTGGTCCGATGACTAAAATGGCAATCCCATAGTCCTGAAACACTTTGAGAGGAGGTAGGGAGGAGGATTTAAACAGGCAGAGCAGGGGCCTGTAGGTAAATGCCTATTCTGCCTAATGAGAAAGCCGGTTCTTGTCTTAAGGAGGAAGTGCCTCTAGCAACTGTCTGACTTTACAACCAGTAAAGATGTTTTTTAGGCATTGTTGTTTCTCGGAAATGGCAATGTTTTACATTGCTAAACAATAGGGACATAATCTATTCACCAAAACTTCTACATTAATATTGTGTCACCTGCAGGGATTTGCAGGTGGAGAAATCTAGACACTTACTTACATACAACGTATATAGGAATGAATCAGACTGAGAGGTCATTCCGTCCCTGCTATCATTTATACAAACTCTATGTAAAATATACTGCGATTCTTGGAAATGATTTCTGGAGCTGTGACTGGTTCAGAGTGAATCCATTCCACATGTGTTAATTCTCACTTAACTCTCGAAGACTAAACAGGAACAGATCGGGGCACTCGCTGTCAGAGATCATGTGCAACCTGAGAATGTATAATGTGCTTCTCCTGTCCCGGTCTTTACAAGTAGATTTGGAAATCATTTTACTTTGTACAGTAACACTCACTCCAAGATCCATTGCATGCAACTACTATATGTGATTATTCTCTATATAATGTCACTCTGTGTGCGGAGAAATACTCTAAATACTTTAACTACTTACATTACCTGTGTTAAATATGTCCCTATTTTTCCTTTGCAGAGACTGGCTCGTGACAGTCAGAGTGTTGGTCACTGGCTGGATTATGGCAAATTTAAACTCCTGATTGGTGACCCTATTAAGGCCCAGGAATGTTTCCACGAGGCACTGGTTAGAGACAGGAGCCACCTTCACAGGTATTCAGTTCTGACTGTTCTCCCAACCATATAGATGGTCAGCACTGTGCATTGTCTGTATGCAGCGTATCTACTGATACCCAGATGTTAACTAAAGGAAGTCATCAATAGGGTAACACTGGGAGCTGAGGTTGGGAAGATACAAATATCTCACTTTAAGAAGGACAATTCTTCTTTGAGACCAAACCTCTCTGTCCCCCTAGGCATCGTATTAAGGATTGTATCACAGAGCTCCACAGCAATAAAACTCACAGTAATACATAGTGTGCATAAGTGTATCATAGAGCTCTACAGTAATTAAACTCACAGGTCTTGTTCTAAATTACATTTTCAGTTCCCTAAATGATTGTCAGAAAGTCATGAATTTGCCCAAAATGTCCTGGAATAACCCTGTCGGTGGCCAAACCTCCAAAATCATCAGATCACAATTCCATTTTGTATAATATTGCTTTTCCCCTGTCCAGCTTGTTACTCTGTGGCATAATGGCAGTTCTGAATGGAAAATATGATGATGCTGAAGTTTTCTTTGAAGACGCTACCTGTGTGGATCCTACAAGTACCTTAGCGCGGACAATGTTAGGTAAGAGCTCCTCTTAACACGTTTGTACACTGAGAAGGATCTAAGCACTATGATCTCTAAATTTTGCCTCCTCATCTTAATCTAATGTATATTGACAAGTCCATTCATATTCAGTTCTGTCACCCTCTCTGTGTACCTCTTAGCATAGGGTCCCAGGATGCATGTATTGGACAACTTAAACCTTAATAGAGAGTAACCCCCTCCATTTAGAGGATGGGTTCCTTGGAATGAGGCCCTCTTGCTGAGATTGGTACCGATAAGTAGTATATAAGTCTTCATTTAGAGGGGAACTCCAACCAAAAAGAGGTAAAGTTACAGGGCTTTAACTCTGTTTGTGTAGTGTTTCAAACTGTAACAAACTCCAAGCATCCTCAAAACGTAAAATCACTGAGGTGTTCATGGTGCCTGGAATAACCCTTTAAACTTCAGCCCTCAAGAAGACCGGGCCAGGAAGGAAAAGACAGGAACAAGACAGGACCCAAGCTGGCCATCACAAATTCCATTAAAACCAACATCAATCAGGAACATTACATAGTTGGGTGAACATGAATAAAAATGTTTTGTTTTTTAAATTTCTATTGATTGGCTTCAATGTCTGTGTTGCTCAGCCAATGAGAGATGAATGTGCTGACATGAATCACTTTCTACATATTATATGACTCTTTCTTGTTGTCACTGTGAACATGGCTTTGAAGTCCTATACAGATAGTAAGAGGACGTAGGATTCTCAAAGTTAGCTCCATTCTTATGGAATAGGCTGCTTCCCCCATCAGACTTTCCTGTAATCTTCAATCCTTTAAGAAGTCTTATCAAACTCATCTTTTCAGGCCAGCCTATAGCCTCCCGGCTAATGTTGACGAGGTCACATACCAGTAAGGGAAGTCAGATAGTCGTCTTATCCAATTTGTGTTTTAATACAGGAGTCCAGATTATACACTCCATGGTCAGAGTCCGGTAATACAATAAGGGCCTGTACATGATCCGAGAGAGGGTCCAAATATAACAAGTCGATTAGAATCTGGTGTAGCAGCCTGAGGCAGTTATTAAATAATGAGGAGGTAGGAACGTGGAAACAATCTGTAGGTTTGGAGTTGGTGAAATGAGAGGTAGTTTTATAGAGAGGTTCTTTCAGAATTCAGAGGTTTTTTAATTGTGGTGGGGCCTGTGTAAGGAATATCTAGGAAGGAGTACAGAGGTTAAAGTGGCAAATACGGTTAGCAGTTCGACACAGTTATTAGTGCAAGGAGATCCTAGCGGGTTTATTTAAATAGACTGATGTTACATGATACCGCCAGGATTCCTACATTATGTTACATCAGCAGAGGAAAAGCGCATTTCATCAACAAGACATGCAACATGTTAAAGCTGTCTGCCCCCTGTCTTTTAATATATAATTGTAAATCACTGCTGAATATGTTGGCGATATATAAAAGCCAATAATAATGTTTGGGTGATATAATACCATCTCTGGATTCTGGAGACCTTTATACCTTAATGTACCACCTGATCTTTGAGCTTTGTACTTGGCATTAACTGTTTACGCTTATACTGCAGGGCTGTTTTATGAAATCCAAGGCAATGATATCCGGATGGAAATGGCTTTCTCCGATGCTAACAAACTGTGCCAACCCAAGGAAGCGAGCGAAAGGCCTTCACCTGCAACAGACACTGTAGACCCTGATAATGCGCCAGTAGCAGAGGAGGAAACCAGCGAAAAAGGTAACATTAATTGAGACGAGCCCTCTCTGGTTCCTTGTTCTGGCTGGGAACCACTGCTGTCCAATAGGCATTCTGTATTCGGCAGTTGGTCTCCTTTGTTGCTCTGGAGGAAAGATCTCCCCAATGAACATCCTTTTCAGAAACCTAAATAGCTTACAATTCTTGTTGTCCTTCATGTTTGTGTTCTTTCAAGCCCATAAAATAAATACTTACATTTTAAACTCCGTTTATATTCAGCGCCGAGTGAGGTTCTTCTCCTCTCTTTCCATGCCCGGCCATGACTCCGTCTCTCCGAGGTGCTAGAGAGGCATTTGACTGGATCGGTTTTCCAGGCTCAAAATTCATGTAAAAAAAAACCAAAAAGGATCATTTCAGTAAATGGAGGGAGGCGGGGAGGAAACGCAGGAGGAAGGGAGGTGACATTGAAGCTTTTCCTTGCATGCGCGCTACCTGCAATGGTAGAAGATGAATATGTCCAGCGCACTGACAACAGACGTCATTTTTGCACAGAATTATTATTAGGCAGTGCTAACAAGTCCCCGGCACAAAAGTGCAGATTATACTCAAGCAGAAACACTGCACATTCAGGTTTCTACCACAATGGCCACTTGTAAAAGCAGAAGTGGTCATGGTGTTGGATTAACCCTTATACATAATTTGTTTTGGTGCAACTGATTGTTATGGTCTCCCGTGTTACATGGTAACTTATCGTGTGATGCATATTCTGTTCTAGGAGCATCTGCCAGCGTCAGCACAGACAGCATCCCACCACCTGAAGCCCGCAGTATTTTCATGGAACTGGCACAATTCCTGGCACAGGCTAATGCCACGCAGGTCAGAACCTTATCCTTGGGAACCTTGGGTACTGGTTAACCCTTTGCATGCCTGCATGGCCGTACATACTGAAAGGGATAAAGAAGACAGTTAAACATGTTTAGATGATTTTCAATATCAAATACCAAAATACCACTAGCAAGTGTCTGTACAATGTTTTAATAACTGTATCCCTGTAGTGCTTTTACCTCCCAGTAATGTGCAGGCAGACAGGATTTGAAAATATAAAGCTTGATGTTTTTCACTCCTCCAAGCCAACATAATATGGGCGTTAAAGCTGCTTCCGTACTCCTAGGTAAATCCAGCCGAGTTACTCCTCTGAAATTCTGTTTGTTGTACAGTGTACAGACGGGTGCCCCTTAAGATCAATATTACTCCCAATATCCAAGCAGTGATTTCACTTAAAATATAATGATTATTGCAAAATATTTCAAATCGCTGGCAGTCCATCATAGGAATGGGGAAAAGAGATAAAATACAAAGAAATAACCTAATGAATTTTATATATACAACTGTACATATTAATATTTGATTAGCACACCTTAGATTAATACAAATTCTGTTGTTTTTTTCATTGTTTTCAACCTCCTTTTTTGTTTTTCCTGTGACTTTAAATATTTTCAATTAAAATTAAATTATTCTCTATATGCAGTTTGTACACAGGGCCCTGGCTCATGAGTTACTCTGTCCGGATGGAGACCGGAGCTGCAAATACCGCCTGCTGCGAGCTCAGATGCATCTTCAGAGAAAGGAGTTTGAAGAAGCCAAAGAAAACCTTGATGCGGCATTGCAGGTTGACTACCAGGTATACCTGTTAACCAACTGTCACTATAACTAACTGTGATAAAGGCAACAGTTACTCTTACAGTGACACAGTGCCAGAACTGGAAAAGTCTCTCTTTTTTAAAAATGTTTGCAGGTCTGTGATTTGTTTACAGTTCCATGCCATTCTGTTTATGATTGGTAGCCAATACTGGTAGTGGAGAGACTGAAAGACTCTGGTTGAAACATACAGATATTGTAGACCGTATATTCAGATTGATTAATATAATTCTCTGCTTACTGCGCAGTGCCCAGATATCTGGGCTTTCCTTGGACACCTGCACATCCAGACCGGTAACAGGAGCGATGCTCGGGACTGCTACGAACACACACTGAACCTGGTAGATGATGCGTCAGACATGCACCCGGTCTTTCTGCGTCTGGGATCCATTTATCTGGAGGAAGGAGAGGTAACGTTGAGATATTAAGACATTTATGTCAGTCTATCACTGGGGTCAATCCTATTCTAGCAAAAATCGAAATCTCCTTTATGTTATCTTTCTGTGAATGATACATACACGGTTATTTACTAAAGGGAGAATTTAAAGTATATTAAAATTTTAGGCCAAACTAGACAAGCTTAAAGCACAGCTGACTTCAAGCATTTCCCAATTTGTCTGTTTACATTTTCAGTTTTAGTAAATAACCCTGATAGTGTAATCACTATAAACTATGTAAAAGAAAAACCTCCCCCCTAGAACTTTATGTAAAATGTGTTAATTTATAAAATGTTGACAAATGTTCAAAACAAAACAAACATGCAGGAAAGAACTGTATTAAATGAATAGGTCCTCCCAGATTCCTCAGGTTCACAAATTATTCTCATCGACATCATGCGTAAAATCATCCTGACTATTCATTTCTTTATTTTGTATGATGATAAAAACCTATTGCCCCATAGAGTGAAGCTAATGTGATTTTCGGGACCCAGACTTTTGTCTCTTTGTCACAGTATGAAAAAGCTAAGAAGACGTACCTGATGGCCTGTAAACGATCCCCTACATGCCTTAGTTGGCTGGGAGTTGGCATCGCGTGCTATAGGGTAAGGTTTATCAAACTACATTATTTAAGAGTTAACTATGGTGCTTTAACTGCCAATGTTTTACACTATGTGGTGTAAATCTAATTGTGTTACTCAGATTGTTTGGCACCTTTTGAACATGTGACAAAAAATGGATTGGAGGATGCCCACTTTTGTTTCCGAATAAATCCCATTTTTCTTCATTAAATAGTGAATTGTGGTCTGTACATTCATTGATGTGAGAAAAATAAAATTAAATGTAGAAAACCACACTGCTTTATATATCTCTGTCCTGGACCTGGCCGCCTCTATCTTAGCTCCCTGTCAGTCATTGTAAGACGCTCTGCCCTTTTTCTGTGATGTAAAAATAACAGTCGTTACACCTGACAGTCAGAGAATATCTTCATGGAGGCAAAGATAATCCATGGCCAGGAGTGATCATAGCAAGGGGAGGGGGAGATACTGAAATAATGTTTCTATTCTCCTCCAATACAGTGAGTGCCCTGCCCAGGGAAGGCCTGTTAGATGAGTACAGACGATGGCTATTTTTGTGCAAATTACTCCCAGATCTCAGTGTGGCCAGTCCTATTCGCACAAAGCATGCAATGTGTGGATCTGACAGACAGAAGTAGCTGGAGTTGCAAGGTGTCTGCAACCTTCCTGAGTGTGATTAACCTGTGCAGTTAGGGGACGCAGACTTCAGCTTCCTGTGATTACATTGCCAACATTGAGAATGTAATGAGCATGGCCTTACCTGCGCTCACCTGTAAACAATTTCAGGGAAATCCGATTTACTCATCATAGTCTAGTACCGTCACATGACTAAAGGTTAACACAAGTTCTATGTGATTTTACAATGTTTTATCCAAAGGTGTAATATTAGCAGGATGTTATGTTATTTACTAACTTTATCAGAGTACTATCTCATGTCTTTATTCTATGTCTCCTGTTCAGCTGGAGGAGATGGAGGAGGCGGAAGGTGCTCTGTCTGAAGCCAATGTTCTCAATAATCACAACCCTGAGGTTTGGGGATACCTTGCACTTATCTGCTTGAAGGTAGGTAACCAGTGCTCTGATATTGATAGGAGGGCAAAGGATGGGAAAATCTGTCTGAAACAATGAGGCTTTGATTACGGGTGGATGCAGCAGGAAACTTGTGCTACCAAAATACATTCTTTATGGCAAACTTTGCAGTGCTGAGGTTTGTATTCTACATTTCCCAGAATGCTTAGCCTTGACATGTCTAGTATAGCCATCAGTACTATAACTCTGGGCTGAAGATTTCAGGTACGAGGCTACGAGCTGGGTATAGTTGTTACCTTCTACCTCAAAACCCACGCAGAATGTTCTTTAATCTGTACAGTGACAAGTTATAAACACCTATCTCCTCTAGTTGAAGCCAGTTATGCAAAGCAAATAAAGAAATACTTTATGTCATTGCTCCATACTCACACAAGGAAATATCACAAGGGATTGTTGTGAATAGCTGAGCTGGACATATTTTGTCCACTTTGGGTATTTTTTACTAAAATGTAAAATTCCCTAATTAATGTTTGAAAATTCCTAGTTTTGAGAGTGTCTCATACAGGTAGATAACCAATAAACGATTTTGTACAAAAAGCTTCATTACTTTATCGCTGTGTCTCGTGGTTTTATTCTACAAACAGACCACGGCATCGGCTTGAAAGGGTATTTTAAGCTGAATATTTAATCAGTGGATGTTATAAGGTTTTTGTTCTTTTTCATTGGACCCAAACACAGTGAATATATAAATGTATAGTGAAATATGGAATCACCATGTGAATCTCTGAGAATAACACTGCATTTCTAGGAAAATATGTACCCAAACGTTTTGCAATGTGAATTCTGCAATTTGAGTGCCAGTGACAAATATTTGATATACTCATTCCTCAAACATGGCTTAATTAGATACATTTTACTTGCTTAACGGGAGTTACGGAGATTTCCTTGTTGGCTCTCCTTGTGAACCAGAAGCAATCCCAGTTGTGTTTATAACCTACAACATATTTGCAGTACACTATTTGTGCACAGTAATCACTGCACACACTAGACCTTTTCTTAGAGCAGGGGTAAGCAAACTTCCACGCTTCAGATTTTGTGGACTCCTCCCATGATGGTTTGCTAGCATTATGGCTGTAAGGGCATTATTCTACAACATCTTCAGTGCCGAAGGTTGCCTAGATAGTCATTCGGTGATTTGAAAGGAGCAAACATTTGTCCCTAAGAGAATTGAGTTGTCAATGGTTTTAATTCAGTTACAGATTTTATTTATGTGACAGGTCTGGCAGTTTATGTAAATTACATTAACCCGCAATGTACAGTAGTATTGTAGGAATGTCCTATCATGCATGCTAACACAAAGTGCCGTTGAGGTAAGTATGCTTTTTACTTATCTCCATCGCACTATTCACCCCAGTAAATTCTTCCTTAGGGAACGAGGAACTGTTCCTGTTGGAGAAGTGGCAGTTCCTCTTTAAAAATAAAGGAAATATTATGCTTTCTCATTAATGTAATGTCCTCTTAATCCATCCGTCCATCATGTTGTTTAAACCCTGCTGGGTATCTAGTGGCCTCGACTGTGTCTGAGCATGGTGCATTATATCACATATCTCGTGGTCCAATGTGAATGGGTGTATATGGCTCATGTCTTGCTATGATCACTGACACTTGATGTTTGTTCTAGACCGGGAAACAGCAGGAGGCAGAGCAATGCTACAAATACACCTCAAAGGTCAGTACGGGGCCCTGCACTCCCCCTATCTCTGTATTGGACTTGCACTCCTCCTGTCTCTGTATTCACATCCTCATGTCCTCTCTTTCCTTACAGCTAAACTTACAGAATACATCGCTGCTCGCAGAGATCCGCCAGTTACAACAGCAGGTCGGCTTTGGAGATCCATCTTTCTGACACCATTCTTCCTGTGTACCATGGGACAGTGCCAGGACTGTAACAAATACATGATGCAGTAACTGCTACAGAGATATTCAAACAGCAGTGTCCACCTTAAAGTGCTTCCACGCTGAATGTAATAAACCTTCCACATGTACAGCTCAGTGCCAGTGTATGCCATCATTCAATCTGTGGGTTAATAACCCTATCCTAACAACCAAATATTTGATCAATTAGTAGTTATTTTATTTACCATCAGCGGAGCTTTCAACACACAAATTGTTTGTAACAGATATGCCATGGTCCTACATTTGAAGAAATGAATCGCCATATCCACCATATTGAGTAAAGGTGTGTCACATCCACCATAGCAATGCACCACACAGGGCTATCAGATCCATTGTGGCATCCTGGACACATGTCACATCTTGATGGACAGCGTGTGAAAAGTACTGTCTTTCGGTATGGAGAATTTATCCTGGGCAGGAAACAAATCGACTTCTTAATCAAGAAACTGACTTCAGTCTATAGATTTCCTTCCTGTAGCCTATAGAAGATAGATATATATATTGATATTTCAGGGTAGCATTTTTCACCAGCATGAAGTAGTGATATGTCCAGGAAAACATGGCGGATCTTGCAAATCCAGTATGACGTCATGTGACAGTACAATATACGCCATCTCCAGATATTTGGATGTGTTAAATAAGCTCCTGTAAGTTAAACTGTGCATTTATTACACAAGAACAATAAATAATTAATTTACTGATAACAGTTTTATCTCATTTTCGCTGTATTGAGTTTTGAAAGGGTATTAATGTGGTGGCCTCACTAGATGCTAATTTAATGATTATGCCCTTTCTCAATGTGCTGAGATTGTCGCCAATCAATATAATGATAACTACTAGTCTGACGTCGGCCACTGTATGGGTTATTTTTTCTTCTATTTAAAGGGAGCTGGGGGAAATAGTGTTACCATGGGTACTGAATGCATGGGAAGTCATTTTCCTTGGATGATGAATGGCATGGCAGTGAGTGCAGTAATAGTTGGACTATGCGAGATTTGCCTCTGGAAAAGATGGTGGTTTCACCAGCCACAACTACCGAAGATCACATGGAAATGAGAGATTGGGAGATACCATGAAGGTGTGCATGGTTACAGCCTACTATACACAATGTGGAAATTAGCATTTAAATGCCTCCTATAAAAGTATAAAAATATCTAAAGACATATAAACTCCTGCAGGGAGTGCCAGACTTACTAGTTGGTGCCAAACTTACTAGTAACTCATTGTAGTATTAGGCAACAGAATAACTGCACACCAATGCCCCATATCATTCCATCAGTGCGTCCTCATGTGATGACACAAAGATGTATAATGCAATAAAACAGGCAGTGGCAACTAATTGATAACATTTTCTAACTATCAGCCAATATCTCACAACAATAATCAAAGCAATCAGAATCTAAATTTCACAAACTATATTACTGGCCTACACCACAATCGTAATGTTCATATTACTAAATTCAAATTATGCTCCCCTGGCTGCATTTATAATAAAAATTGTATAGGGTTGCTTTTAATTTATTTATTTTTCACTTAACCAGTATTCACAGCACATTGTGTTTCATAAATCCACCAGCGTTTCTTTAAGCCCCTTTAAAGTTTTATAGGATTGCTCTTATCCTGTGCGCAGGAAGAAGCAGTGACAGGCAGCAGCCTTGGAATGACTATGTAAAGGATTTCCCTGTGTTTACCTGTACCCATTCGGTTAATTTCTCTCCCTGCTAGTTAAGTGACTGTAAAGTATTTGTTGTTATTTCTGTGTTCGGGGCATTTATTCGTTCTACCGAACGGAGACCACCCTGGGTAGCAATCAGAACTTAGTGCACTAAGTAACCACGAAAACCGCAAGGTAATTGAGTGCTTCCAGGTGGCCACCATTCGGCATACGAACACGTGGCAAGAGCAAAGGATGGCGGCCATCTTAGATCTCCCGAACGCGGTCAGCGGGACTTACTGGTGGATTGCCTGGAACCATTTTTCGGCATGACAAACACACGAACACCCGGTCTCTATGGAAGTCCCGTCTGACCGATTTCCACTTACAGTATCAAACTGGCGTTCGGGAGTTTCAATCAACCGAATGAGGGGAACATTCATATGGAACCAGATGCTGAATAACTGTGGTAGTTTTTCGTGTAATCACACACGAACGGAGACCGCTTTTGCTACCAATTTCATGGAACTCAGATACAACCACATGGCGAGCCGGTCAAACTTTCACACGATGCGACACGAAAACTACCAGGTGGATTTTCGTGCAATTTGGCACTCCTAGTATCCTCAGCTACCCAGGGATGTGATTGTTATATTTCTGTGATCTGTAGAAAGTATATTTTGAAAATGTAGAAAATTGTTAAGGTTTATGGCCAGCAGATAATTGAGTTTAGTATGTTGCTGAAACTCAATTATCTAGCCTGGCCCAGAGGAGGAGCTTGTACTGCATAAATTGAATGTCTGTTGCTTCCATTAAATCAGTCTTGTTCCAGCATTAAGCTTTGGCTCACGTGTGGATTATTTGGCGATACCAGCGTTATTTTACCCTGTGGATTATTGTCGTTATTCTGTTATTGGGAAAAAGGGAATACTGGACGGTGATACAGATTACTACCGTCACAGACTACTCCAGCACTTTTAAAAACAGTAGGTTGGTTACGTATTGAGGGTGGCTGAAACACAGTTAAGTGACGAATTCCAGTGTGACAGCAGACCACCCAAGTTTAGCATATCTGAGATTGGGACAAGAAGATGACTGGTAGACGGGCATGTGTCTGAGGTAATTAACAAGTGTATCGTTACTGCACACACATGCCAGGATGACCAGATGCTACATGCTTGCTTAGTTTACAAATGTCTGCACAACACCGGGTGACAGTGCCGGTCTGTTGGGCATTCAAGAGAACTGTTATAAACGTGTGTTAATATTGTGTGCCATGACATGTCTGTGATTGGCTCCATGAAAACAGTGAGGTTTGGGAAAATAATGGAGAGGCAAGTGATAGAAATTGGGTGATAGAATGAAGTGGGGAGGTGTAGTAAATACGTGATGGATAAAAGTTCATGGAATGTGGAACGAGAGATGAGATGGTGCCAAGACAAGAAGGAGGAGAGACGGAATGAAGGAGACACTTGCAGGATTATTGGATAAAGTAAGAATTCAAAGTGAATTTCAAATTTAGGGTCAAGGTAGCCGAACTGGAAAAATTCTCCAAGTCAGATTTTCTGTCAGTTCGGCTATTCTAGCCTTAAATTTGAAAATCACTTTAGAAAATAACCCTGATATTCATCTATAGTCACACTGCAGCTACTCTGACCTTCATCTATGGTCACACTGCAGCTCCTCTGACCTTCATCTATGGTCACACTGCAGCTACTCTAACCTTCATCTATAGTCACACTGCAGCTACTCTGACCTTCATCTATGGTCACACTGCAGCTACTCTGACCTTCATCTATGGTCACACTGCAGCTACTCTGACCTTCATCTATGGTCACACTGCAGCTACTCTGACCTTCATCTATGGTCACACTGCAGCTACTCTGACCTTCATCTATGGTCACACTGCAGCTACTCTGACCTTCATCTATGGTCACACTGCAGCTACTCTGACCTTCATCTATGGTCACACTGCAGCTACTCTGACCTTCATCTATAGTCACACTGCAGCTACTCTGACCTTCATCTATGTCACACTGCAGCTACTCTGACCTTCATCTATGGTCACACTGCAGCTACTCTGACCTTCATCTATGGTCACACTGCAGCTACTCTGACCTTCATCTATGTCACACTGCAACTACTCTGACCTTCATCTATGGTCACACTGCAGCTACTCCTGACCTGCAGCTACTCTGACCTTCATCTATGGTCACACTGCAGCTACTCTGACCTTCATCTATGGTCACACTGCAGCTACTCTGACCTTCATCTATGGTCACACTGCAGCTACTCTGACCTTCATCTATGGTCACACTGCAGCTACTCTGACCTTCATCTATAGTCACACTGCAGCTACTCTGACCTTCATCTATAGTCACACTGCAGCTACTCTGACCTTCATCTATGGTCACACTGCAGCTACTCTGACCTTCATCTATGGTCACACTGCAGCTACTCTGACCTTCATCTATGGTCACACTGCAGCTACTCTGACCTTCATCTATGGTCACACTGCAGCTACTCTGACCTTCATCTATAGTCACACTGCAGCTACTCTGACCTTCATCTATAGTCACACTGCAGCTACTCTGACCTTCATCTATGGTCACACTGCAGCTACTCTGACCTTCATCTATGGTCACACTGCAGCTACTCTGACCTTCATCTATGGTCACACTGCAGCTACTCTGACCTTCATCTATGGTCACACTGCAACTACTCTGACCTTCATCTATAGTCACACTGCTGCTACTCTGACCTTCATCTATGGTCACACTGCTGCTACTCTGACCTTCATCTATGGTCACACTGCAGCTACTCTGACCTTCATCTATGGTCACACTGCAACTACTCTGACCTTCATCTATGGTCACACTGCAGCTACTCTGACCTTCATCTATGGTCACACTGCAGCTACTCTGACCTTCATCTATGGTCACACTGCAGCTACTCTGACCTTCATCTATGGTCACACTGCAGCTACTCTGACCTTCATCTATGGTCACACTGCTGCTACTCTGACCTTCATCTATGGTCACACTGCAGCTACTCTGACCTTCATCTATGGTCACACTGCAGCTACTCTGACCTTCATCTATGTCACACTGCAGCTACTCTGACCTTCATCTATGGTCACACTGCAGCTACTCTGACCTTCATCTATGGTCACACTGCAGCTACTCTGACCTTCATCTATGGTCACACTGCAGCTACTCTGACCTTCATCTATGGTCACACTGCAGCTACTCTGACCTTCATCTATAGTCACACTGCAGCTACTCTGACCTTCATCTATGGTCACACTGCAGCTACTCTGACCTTCATCTATAGTCACACTGCAGCTACTCTGACCTTCATCTATAGTCACACTGCAGCTACTCTGACCTTCATCTATGGTCACACTGCAGCTACTCTGACCTTATATTTGAAAATCCCTTTGAGTTCTCATTTTAGTACATACGATATGCCTGATAGAGAAACTACATGAGACTAATCCCAATAAACCAGGTAGTTATATAACGGGGGTGACGTCATATCCCTGCGTCGCTGTATCCAGGGGGCGGGGCTGACGCGCTGGCGGTTGCTGGGGCTCAGGCTGGCGGTTCGCTGACGTTCAGACAGTTTGTACGGCGGGAGGATCGAGCTGCAACCGGGGAGCCATGGCTGGAGGTACTGGGAGTTACACTGTGTGTGAGGGCTGGAGGTACTGGGAGTTACACTGTGTGTGAGGGCTGGGGGACTGGGAGTTACACTGTGTGTGAGGGCTGGGGGGACTGGGAGTTACACTGTGTGTGAGGGCTGGGAGTTACACTGTGTGTGAGGGCTGGAGGGACTGGGAGTTACACTGTGTGTGAGGGCTGGAGGTACTGGGAGTTACACTGTGTGTGAGGGCTGGAGGTACTGGGAGTTACACTGTGTGTGAGGGCTGGGGGGACTGGGAGTTACACTGTGTGTGAGGGCTGGGGGGACTGGGAGTTACACTGTGTGTGAGGGCTGGGGGGACTGGGAGTTACACTGTGTGTGAGGGCTGGGGGGACTGGGAGTTACACTGTGTGTGAGGGCTGGAGGTACTGGGAGTTACACTGTGTGTGAGGGCTGGAGGGACTGGGAGTTACACTGTGTGTGAGGGCTGGAGGTACTGGGAGTTACACTGTGTGTGAGGGCTGGGGGTACTGGGAGTTACACTGTGTGTGAGGGCTGGGGGTACTGGGAGTTACACTGTGTGTGAGGGCTGGAGTGTGAGGGCTGGGACTGGGAGTTACACTGTGTGTGAGGGCTGGGGGTACTGGGAGTTACACTGTGTGTGAGGGCTGGAGGTACTGGGAGTTACACTGTGTGTGAGGGCTGGAGGTACTGGGAGTTACACTGTGTGTGAGGGCTGGGGGGACTGGGAGTTGCACTGTGTGTGAGGGCTGGGGGGACTGGGAGTTACACTGTGTGTGAGGGCTGTGTAACGGATCACCTGGCACCCCCCGACTGGGTACCTCTGTTGAAGGATGCTCCTGGCACTTACAGAGGGCTCCAAGCGCTACGCAGACACCACAACCACTGCAGACCCCACGAACCGCCGCAGCTTGGTTGGGGTCTCGCCGTCTCCTACCCACCCTGGACCTACGACAAGACTCCAGGTTCCATCGGGTGAACCTCTCCTCCAAGAGAGGGAAACAGGAAGAAGCTCTTACAAGAGCTTAGAAGTGATTACCCAAGGGAGCATGCAGAGCATAGCAATTCCCCCAATAAGAGACAGGACTCTAGATTGATGGTGAAGAACAACTCTGGTTTAATGACATACTCTGCTTTTATGCAATTCTCCCATGCAAGGGAGACACCCATAGACAATTATACAATACCCAATCACACAATGGTTACATCCCACACATCTCCTCCTCTTAGCCTGAGAGGTAACCCAATTATCCGTACATTTTAAAACATACTTGTGACAGAACCATCTGTCTGCTGGATTTTTGCCCGTTCGTCTGTTTGTCCCCGTTCGTATGAATGGCTGGTTTCTATAGCCCAGCCATTCGAATGACTCTTTTTCCCGAACAAAACCGCCGAACGAACGGCCACCCAAGTGAGGAGTGTGCTGCAGGTTAACGAAGTGATCACCATTATAACGTTGTGGTTAACCGCAGACACTTCTCAATTAAACCGAACTCAGGGTGGTCGTCGTTCGTATGTCGACCACGAGGCAGCGGCCATTTTAAATCATGCGAACGCTCAGCGGTGTTTGGCTCTATTTCTATGGAACGGAAAACGGACACTTTTTCTGTCGAACACCGCTGAAACAAGGGAACGCCTGGCTGCCTCCACGAAAGCATGCGAACATCGGCCGTTCGGGAGATTGAGAACACACAAAAGACTTAACCCAGATAGCCCACCCATGGAGTCATTCGTGTACCGAAGGACTGTAAGAACTTTGACTCCATGGCGATTGAACTATGTGTGTGGGATCTGAGCGCTATTCGCCAATAATATGCACTCAGATCCAGGCTATCTGGGGACATGTAATACGAATGGGAAATGTTCAGTTTTCATGTAGTTATGCATTTTTGTGTCTTTTATTATTTCATGCTTAAGATGGCGACTGTCCTTGTCCTGGAGTTAATTGAGTTACTTGGTAATTAACTCCAGGACAGAGGGGAGGGAATCAGAATGCACTGTGGGTAAAATATGTGACTGTGTGTCAGAAATGTCCTGCTGTCTGTCTGTACTTTAAGTCTTCCATTTGGTCCCCTAGGGGAGTGTCCACCAGGTGGGAGACCTGCATAAATACGGGCAGGTAGCCCACAGTAAACCAGATCTTATTTGACCCTCAATGCGGAGCTTCTGTCTCGTTATTGGGGGGATTTCTTCTTCACGTTTAGAGACTGCTGGATGGAACGAAAGCCGCTTTGGGGATATTATTGTTCGACGGTTCCTAGCAGTTCGTATATTGCCGTTCGGGAGTTTGGAGCCGTTCGTGGATTTCGATCGGGAGATTGCCGCTTCCCCTGCATTTGGTTCGTGGGTTACAGAGTAAGCGAACAGAGACTGTACTGCAGCCGGGGAAGGTTTACTAAACGGCGGTTTGGCTTAAAGACACGGGAGGTGTCTTAACAATTGGTGGCAAGCGACGGGATGAATCCTACAGCATTGGAGGTCAGCTACAAGAGATGCAGTACGAGGAATTAAGGCGTGCTACACTTAAGGACATATTGGAACGCCGAGGAAGGTCAGCAAGCAATTTAAAGAAACGGGAGATTATTGCTTTGCTACTGGAGATGGATGCAGCAACGGGAATGGAAAGAGTCAACGTGCCCAGTACCTTGGATTTAACACCCGAGGAAATACAATTCAACCGGGCAGTACAAATAAGGCTGGCACATTTTGGCCCCAACCCCTCAGCTGACATCGTGGTTCGTGTGCAGGCAGCAGTTGCAACACAACAGGCAGCCCGGGAAAGAGGAGCTGCAGCAGCAGAGGTACCGTATGACAATAATGTGGTTGCTAGAAAAAAGGTACCTTTTGCTGCGTTTAAAAATTTTGTGGAAACAGAGGGAGAGATTGATGGATTTTTGGCAGACTTTGAGAGGCAGTGTGCGCTACATCAGGTACCTGCAGATGAATGGGTCACCATCCTCTCTGGGAAATTATCTGGCCGGGCTAGTGAAGCTTTTCGGGCCATCCCAGAGGAGGAGATCACCAGCTACCGGGCTGTGAAAGAGGCGCTCCTAGCCAGGTATGCAGTGACCCCAGAGGCGTACAGGCGGAGGTTTAGAGAAACCAACAAGCTGGTTGGGGACTCTTATGTGGAATGGGCCTGCAGAGTCCATCGTACCGCAGCCCACTGGATGGCTGGATGCCAAGCGGTAACTGGGGAGGAGGTGTTACAAGTGTTCCTGCTGGAGCACTGCTTTGATAGACTACCTGCTGGGGTCCGGGAATGGGTCAGAGACAGAAAACCCTCTACCCTACCCGAGGCTGCCCGTCTGGCAGACGAATACACGGATGCCCGCAAGTTGGATGGTACAGCTGCTAAAGCCCCTGCCAGACTGGAGTATCGACCAGCAGTAACACCCGCTCCTGCAGTCTACCAACCCCCAGTACACCGTACCCCAGCTGCACCACCAGCTAACAATTATATGCAACCAGCCCGATTTAATGCCCGGGAGTACTCCCAACCCATCCGGTGCTATGGGTGCAAGCAGTTGGGGCACAAGCGTCCTGAGTGCCCCCTGAACAGTGCCAACCAGGCTCAGTCCTGGAGGAGACCAGTTAACGGAAACCAGCGCCCACCTCAGCCTGCTGCTCACTGCCTAGAGCAGGAGGAATTTTGGGGCATTCTGCACGAGGCAGACCCAGTGCAAGCAGCTCACCAGGATAATCGCCAGCAACATCGGCAAACTGTGAAGCTAAATGGCAGAGTGGTGAATGGGCTGAGACACAGGAGCCACGATGACACTGCTCCAAAAGAACTTGGTCTCAGAGCATCAACACACTGGAGACACTGTGGCAGTAAGGGTAGCAGGGGGTGCCGTGTTTCGCTTACCTGTTGCCCGAGTACATTTGGATTGGGGAGTGGGCGCTAGGCATGTGGATGTGGGGTTGATGAAGGACTTGCCCGCAGATGTTCTTTTGGGAAACGATTTGGCCCCTTTGGTTTCAGCCTATGCTCCGATGGGCCCTGCAGACGTGAACCCAGTGACCACCCGTGCCCAGACCCGTGCTGCCGGAACCAGCCCACTTGCTGACGAGACCCAGGTAAGATCTCCTTCCCCGACTGATACCCCAGATCAGGTCCCCTTAAGCTGGGATTCCCCAGAGGAGTTTGGGAGGGAAACCCGGGCGGATCCGACCCTCCAAAGATACAAGGACAGGGCAGAGGCTGGGGAGGAAGGAATAGATGGGGAGCGGTATGAGTGGGTGGGGGACAGGTTATATAGGATCCCTAAACCTTCCCAGAAGAGTGTTGCCCCTCCGCCGAATCGCCAGTTAGTGGTACCTGCAAAGTACCGGCAGGAGATTCTGCGGATAGGGCATGATGTTCCTTTAGCTGGACATCTAGGGTCCCGCCGCACAGCCTATAGGATTTCACAGAACTTCTTTTGGCCAAACTTTAACCAGGCTGTGCGGATGTACTGCAGCACGTGTGACACATGTCAACGGGTAGGAAAGCGGGGGGACCACCCTAAGGCTAGGCTACTATCGATGCCTATTATAGGGGAGCCCTTTGCCCGCATAGCCGTTGACATTGTGGGTCCACTGGCCAGGGCTAGTCCATCCGGTAAGAAGTATGTTCTTACCGTGGTGGACTATGCCACCCGCTATCCAGAGGCAGTAGCGCTGTCTAACATAGAGGCAGAGACGGTTGCTGATGCCCTGGTTAGAATTTTTACTAGGG